CACCATGTGTGGCCAGATCTTGTGAGGGGAGAATTCCAATGCCTTCGAGCACTTCTTCAAAGCCCCTGTGGCCTTTGTTGTACCAGAGTACAGCAAGAGCGGTGGCTGTCTCCACAGTTGTTCTGGAGGCGAACTTTGTTTTTGGACATAGCAGCCATATCTTGCTGTTCAGCGATTCGGCTGCATTCTGTGTCTTGCCATGAAGGCACCGAATAAGGAGTTTCTCCTCTGTAAGGCGCTTGTAGATAGGCATAATTGCCAATCCTTGAGCCTTCGTCAACAGTGGGGTGTGGCGTGGTGCAGGCTCCCCCAGTGCTTCCGCACGCTTGTGCTTGCACCACGAATTTGGTCCCGCGGGGCAAAAGTTGTGGCTACTGGCACCATCACTGGAGCAGCAATGAAAATACGATGCCCATATGGCAGTGCACATATTTCGGACACTGTCCTTGTTGCTCGTGATGGCGATCTTGTAATATGTTTGTAGTTTTATTATTGTCGCATCTTTCAGTTTTTCGCCTCGTGGCTGTGGCGTTGCCAATTTCCGTAGGGCAGTTCCCAAGCGCTTTGCAACGTGGTTCGTGCACTCTTCTTTGTCAATGGGGGTGTCACAGTATACATTTGCCTCGCAGACTGCAGTGTAGGCCTTGCTGTCACCATCACTTAGGAAGCTGGTGAATCGCAGTGAAGTTTCATAAGACAAGGTCCTCTGCCATATATTGACAGCTGCCGCAGATTCCATTGCATGGGATGAGCAGTCAGTGTTTTTTTGGCAAACTGGAAGATGAAAAGCTCGCCATATCTCTTCATCCTCCCCAAGGTCCCTGTGTATACTGCAAGCATGGCAGTAGTTCGCAAGAACTTCAAAATCGAGGCAGAGCCCCGTGTCCAGGGACACGACTGTGCCCACTCCATTGTGGCTTTTATGACCTCTTTTCTGCCAGGTGCCATCATACATGACTGGCACATCTCTGCCGCCGACTGCGTCCTTCGTGATGTTTCGTGCCTGGTGCAAGTTTTTGCTCACTGCCGTCATGGCCGCACCATGGAGCTTCTTGCAAATGCCGTTGAATGTCTTGTGATGCATCGGGCTCGGAAGACCGAGAATCGCACAAAATCGTGAAAGTTGGTCGTGGGCTGCGCCTATAGCGCGTGCTGCCAGAACTGCCTTCACGTTTACAGCAAAGCTGTCACGCGAGCTGCCACTGTCAAAACAAGCGCTCGTTCCTTGGTCCCCGGCCGAAGCAGTACGTCTCGACGTGTGCGTGAACGAAAGTGCAGATTCAGGGCAATCAGAATTTTGACAGCACAGTTCGAGGAATGCCGAAAGTCCTTTGCGCTTTCCAGCTGCCTCTCGCACGCCGAGCTTCCGTTCGCGGCAGGTTGGGCATTGCGCACCCGCCACAAGTGCCGTCAGCGCATCGATTTCGCAAAGCAGCATGTTCGCAGTAGCAGCATCTACCGGTCTACGTTCACTCTCGAAGAATCCAATCTTCCTTTGGGATGCACTGACGAATTCCACGGCAGCGGCTATTTCACAACCACTGTCGCAGGGTTCGGTGACGGTGTTACACCTATCCGAAGTCGGAGCGTCGGGGCGTTGGTCGGGGGCGACATCGTCGTTCGCTGTCGCTTTGCGAAGCGTCCGACGCCGTTTCCCTCGATACTTGTGGCGAGTTCTGAACTTTCGATTATCTGAACTGCACTTCTTCGGGCTTGCCATGAGGCAAAAATGCAGAGAAACGCAGAAAAACTCGATAGCGACGTCCAAGGCTTCGCTCTTTTGCCGGAGAGATAGGAGGGGGAGGAGCGTGGAGCGCACCGCCGTCCAATGGCGGCCTCGCGCTGTTGCCGCGATATTCAAAACGCGTGACGTACGCGTTGTTTTTCTTGTTTTTTGTTTATTCTGCGTGAAGGCACGAGACTGGCTACTAGTGGATTATGAAGGATACGGCCTTCGCAGCATGCGTGCACGATTGCAAATGGCGGCCAACGCGTCGTTTTCGCGACAGGACGACGCGAACTTCACCGTTTTTTGCGACTTTCGCGCATTTCTCGCGTCACCGCTGCCCACTTGGAAGCATTTTTTGATAATTTCTCATGCGAATTTCAGCTTGATATTTTCAGAAGTAATAGATTATAGTCCAAGGATGCCAATACAGCCGGAAAAAAAAAGCGAAAATTTTCCGGAAAACCGCGACTTTTCGACCCGCGTCTCCCCTTAAAGTCAATTATCTTATGGTGCACCTACTGACATCGTCACTACCTTGACATCAGGCCACAGTACTAACCCTGGTGACCACAGGCATTAGTCTGGCAAGCTGTGCAACGTCAGGTTCAAAAACCTCCAAAATGGCCGCTCGTATGTCACCAAAACATTCAAAATGGCCGCTTCTACGTCATGAATAGAATCACAGTGCGGAACTGCTGTGAGAACGTCACGACATCTTGCGCGAGCACGTGAAAAGAAGATAGTGCCGTGTTGTGACGTCAGGTTACAGTAGGAATCGAAACTAGGTTTTAAAAACATGCTGTAATTACTTCTCCAGGTTGCAGTCATGGCCAGCCATACATTTCTAGGGTCTTGAATGCTTTAGCTTTTATTTGACGCAGAAAAACATCAACTGAAAGCTTCCGTGTCAGTAGCAATCCTTCAAGAGCCATTTCACATGTTTTTCCGACTTGTGCTTACAAAATGTTGTCCAGTGAATGCAGCGCATGTATCACTCATGTGTTAGTATAAAAAGAAGCATTTTATCATTGTGCAGCTCTTCAGGCGCTAATCATTTCAGTAATGAGAGTTTACTTTGATGACTTGACGTGTTGTATTCGCTATTTTCTCAATGAAGGCACTACTATTTCACAAATCGCAAGACTTTAATAGGTCATATGTGAATATATCTCGTTATGCTAACGTACTTCAATTTTTTCCATTGATCAAAACGGGCTTTTAGGATTTTCAGAAGTGAAATCGTCAATATCAAGTTGAAAAAAAAAGACACCTTGAACAGAAAAACTAGTGAAAAACAAAACAGGAGTTTAAAGCAGTTTATGCTATGCACGAAAGACGGTGCATCTGGAGGGACCGGAACAGAAAAATGTTGTCGCCAATGTCCAAACCAAATGTCATCAACCACTTTGTGCATACGTTTTCTGTTGGAGCAGTGTTTGAAGGTTGCTAGTAAGAAAACTGTTCCATTACGTGCCCTGTGTCTTGGCAAACATTGTTTCACTCATGTATGCTACTACTTATTCACGATATATCTTGCAAAAGTGAAATCTTATTGCATTAAGCACTTAATTCAATGCTTCATCCACTGTATTTAGAATTAAGTGGGGCCGTAATATGTGGGCTAGACTGTAGTCCCCATGTAACCTCCTGTAAGCAGTAAAGCAGTGCTAAGCCATGAAAACACCTACCCAGGAGACTGACGCGAAACTCCAGTTCAAGGTGAAATGAACATACTACCCTCACATCGATTCACCATTTTTTTTAGTTTAAAAGCTTGTTATTGAAGATTATAAACTCAAAGTATAGTAAACTTTAAAACGTAACATATTTTACTGGTTACCACTTGCATTCTACACAAAGTCAAATCCTGCTTCTATTCAAAGTTGTTCCCGCTTTCTTTGAAAAAAAAAAAAGATATTTGCACAGCCCTTCCTTCAATTTTTATAAAATATTGTGCATATTGGTTAGGTCATGACAAATGTGCCCATCAATCTTTATAATATGCATTATATACCATTCGAATTCTATTCAAAATTATTCAACCAAAATCACTATTCGCTTTGAATTCACTTCGAACCTAAAATTCACTATTTGCACAAACCTGAATTGTGACAATGCAAAAACGAAGCAAAGCAAATAAAAAGTACTAAAATAAGCAGTAGATAGCTTGCCTTTTGCAGTAAACATATGCATTCACTATTTGTGAACAGCTTGCACTGAAATAATATGAACAGTCCAAGTGCATTTTCATAGTCACCTCTGCCTTCATAGCCATTGTCCAAATCAATAACATTGCCCTATGCATCATATGTCTTCTGAGCGAGTGAAAGCCTACGAATGTTGCTGAAGAATAATCCTCAAGCAAAAATTAAATGAGCCAGCCATCTCTGTCCTACGAAAGCCACAAAGATAGAAGCCTGAGGGTTGCTATGTTTGCTTCACATAATTAAGATGTTAACTTTTATGCATAACTTAGTCCTCCAGAATAGCCATGTCTACCTTATCCATTAATCTCTAACACGGTTGCAACCAGAGTTGTATGTAATGCATTACAAGTAATCAATTACTTGTAACAGTGTTTAACCGAGCAGTTTTCTTATCTAACACCATTACAGGTGAACAATAGGTGGTGCACAAAAAATGCTGCTGCATTTCTTGTGCCTTATTTTTTAACCCCACCCTGGTGAGCAAGCCCAACCAACTCGCTTGGTAAGAGCCCTGTTGCTCAGACTTGAACAAACAGAAGGCTTTTGGAGCGACGTGACAATATTGAAACTGCGCACCACGGGCAACAAGATAAAGTATAAAGGTCATATAATGCCGGAAAGCATCCAGTTCAAAACTGCGTTGTTGGCGAAGCAGGCACTTTGCACCAAGTTGGAATTCCCGCCACACTGAAAAACTTCTGCATTACCAAGTAGTGTCGTAACGTCATGATGCAGTATTTCACTGCAGTGCTCCTTCATAGTGGTGACACCATTTCTATCAAGAGTGGGGAGCACAGTGGGGTTGAGAGAGGGTATATAATTATTGGGCTTGCACCTAAAAAATCATGGCTTAGTGGTAAGCGCATCTTGCTTCTGGGCTCGAGAGTGCCGCAGTCAGAGGTTTGATTCCCCAATCAGGTCATTCAGCAAAACTTGTTTTTCTGACACTTCTCCTTTCTGATGTACCCTTGCACCTTGTTAATGACGTCACTTCTGTTGTAGAAGTTCTTGATAGACCTCCACTTTCATGCCGAGAACCTAAGCATCAGGAAAGGGTAACAAACCTGAAGCTTGCGTTGATGATCTTCGACAATCGAGTCCTGGTGCTCTCTAAGAACACGATTCTCCTCCTCCAAAGTGAGTATTTGATTTTTGCTTATGGCCAAGTCCTCTTTCATCAGTGCATTGGTTGTCTGTAGTTGTTCTACTTTTTGCTGGAGGTTTGTCACTGTAGCACTGACACCACAAAAACAAAGAAAACAAACAGCAAGAAAATATTAATTATAGAAAAACCTAACAGCAAGCATGCAAAACATATTCACGGTAAAATCAGTCAATAATACAGAGCCAGCAAAGAATTTCTTTTAGCAGACTCAGAGTTGATTGCATTCAAGATTTTGCTTGCATTTACAAATTAACTTTAATTTTCCTTTCTTTAATTTAGAATATTTGTTCTTGTTTTTTTGGTGACAGTTCCCATTCCTGGTTATTTTTTATATGCTGATTTGTTTTTTAACTCTCTCATTTAAACAATGTCTAGTTACCAAAAAGCACATGAAATGTTTGATTTTAAACACTACATATTGTACTAGAGAAATACCAACATATTTGAAATCTCCACACAAATATACATACACTCAGCAAGTTCAATCAATATCAATGAAGAATTTAAAAAAAAATTAAATATAATTGCTTTCCATAAGCTAACATTTGCATTAACTAAAAATAATTATTGCCAGCCAAAAGTGGTACATGCTAAATAATCACTCATCAAATTCTGGAGCAAAAGTTTTATGAACTTCACACCACTTTGACCTTACTAGCCTACAGGAGTTTTACAAAGCGCAGGAGCTAAGAGAAAGCACCACCTATTGACAGCTTAAGGCTTGCAGCATGTAGCAGATAAGAAATGTTGTAAAATGCAAACAGTTTTCATACCATGCTTCTACTGTAATGAAATTCAATTTTCTTAGCAGAACATTAGTACCTAGATAGTGGAGATGATTCAAAGACATAAGCTTTCAGGATTTATTTGTCTAGTTATATTTTATAATTTTACATTTCATAAAATGTTTTATAAAATAAGCATAATTTTAAGATATCTTCAGATATTACTTTTTATGTATTGTAGACAACAGAACGACATGAAAAACAATGTCAAAAAGCCGCCCATTTTGATGAATTCATGTGAGCTATGGTAAGGAATAATCACAAAATAAAGAGCACTCACTTTAAGTGACGGTTCAACTCCTCAATGTAATTCTTTTGGTCCAGCACAGCTGTCATGCTTGCAGGTTCCACACTGGTGAATGGAAAAAAAGTTAGCAGGTAACAAATGCAACATGTATTCTCAAGTGAGAACTCGCAGGTAGAACGGGAAAGAGTGAATACTAGGGGCCCACAAATATTCAAACTTTCAAACATTTTTTAAATAGTGTTTGCTATTTGATTTGTTTTTTGCTGAAATTTTCTTATTCGAACTTTCCAAAGACCAAAACAGTGAACATTTAATTAGCGACGACCCATTTAGTTTTATCATGCTTCACCCCACCCCACTATTGCATTGTGGCAAAGCTGCCTTTCAGGCTCTGCTACAGTTGCACATGTATTGAGTTCAAAAAACGCAGATTCCAACATAAAAATGACCCCTTTAAGTTTTTTTAATATGGTCCACCCATTACACCCCTGTATGGTGACAAAGCTTCCTTTTTTGAGTCACAAATGTATTGAGTGAAGAAAACGCTGGTTTCAAACTGGAGATGATAGATGTGGCAGAAAGGGGACTCAATTAATGTTGTTTTGGTCCTGAGATTATATAAGGCAGAAAGTCCAAAAAATCTGATTCTGAAGGTTTTTTGATTGATATGTGGGGTTTAACGTCCCAAAACCACCATATGATTATGAGAGACGCCGTAGCGGAAGGCTGCGGAAATTTCGACCACCAGGGGTTCTTTAATGTGCACCCAAATCTGAGCACATGGGCCTACAGCATTTTTGCCTCCATCGGAAATGCAGCCCCCGCAGTCGGGATTCGATCCCGCGACCTGCGGGTCAGCAGCCGAGTACCTTAGCCACTAGACCACCGCGGCGGGGCAACCTTGAAGGTTTTTAGCATTCACAATTTCAGGTGTTCTTTAATATATTGATGTCTATGAGGCAGATATGGAACTTCGAACTCGAAGAATACACATCCTTGTCCACCACATCATTCAGGCTCCCAAGAAGTTAAAAGAAGAGGAGAGGCAGAGGAAATAACATCTTTGCCTTTCTTTCACATGTAGAGTGCTGTCAGCAACACTTCAGTTGCACCAAATCATGTACATAAATGCAATTTCGCCTTTGCATTTCTTTAATCTTAATAAGACAACTATCAAACACCACCCCACCAACACTTCACCGATGTAGCCAAAAAGAACACTTTCTTGTAGCTATCTCATAGGAATATACTTACAAATCCTCTCTAACTTCTTTTTTCTGCAATATCACTTTGAAATATCAGAAAAATATTATAGAAATATTCAAAAAATATTCTATTTGATTACCACTCAAACCTCAATATTCGAGTTCGTGCGCCATCCAAAACTTTCCTATTCGCACAGCTCTAGTATTGAATACTAAAAGTACGATGATTGCAAAATAAATGTCAACATATAGACATAAACAATGTTCTAAAACATGACACAAATGATAACGACACAGTGCCCATTAAACGACACTGCAACAAGCCACAAAGTAACAATATAACATACCCTCAAGGACTATAGGCGGTTATGCCTGTCTCTCTCTCTCTCTCTCTCTAAATGACCTTACATGGCATCTATGAACATCAGTAAGGCAAAGGCTAAGCTAGTTGGTATAGCTGCATACTGCAATTACGTTGGTAATCAGTGCTCATCCAGTGTTCACTACTTCCATGAGTAGATTTTTTTTTCACGATTGTTTGTCACAATGAATGACTACAGCATAAAAATACTATTCAGAGGTGCTGCATGCTTGGGCAAACTAATGAGTTTTTCTGCTAACCCATTTCTCAATGCCATATTAAGGGCTTTTATAAAGTTATCTTAATGAACATATGCTACAACATCTTTTGTGTGTGTACTGCAGTACCATGTACTATTTTGCTCGCTGGAACTCTAGCTTACATAAAGGAGCATGCATGTTGTTTGAAGTTATCACATCTTTTAGCAGTTGCTGAATGCCACCAAAATTCAGAAAGCCCTACTGTCCTTGGTTCGTGCATCTAACATGGTGTACCTAGTACACACAATAAAATCTTGTTAATTCAGCACAGTCCCTTTAACTCATACACAAATTAATGGTACGATATACTCATTCAATAGAATTTAATTTGGTGCATTTCAGATAAATAAACAGTAGAACACATGCTGCACATGTCATGCACAGCCTTTCAGTGAATTCAGAATGAAAACACAGAATAGAGGTTAACTTGTTCATATTTTAGTCAGCAAAACTGTAGTGGCAAAATTAGAGAATACACTCAAAATCAAATTCTGGGTTGAAAAATTGCAGCATTTGAAATACTACGAAGCTCTTCACTACGAAGCACATGATGGCTTGATCCTATGATGTATGCACTCGTAAGCTGTCTGAGCTGTTAGCTGCATCAGCTAGCTATATCTTTTCAGGACTGTGTCACTCTGTTTGCCAACACCGATGCATGACTTTACCGTGATGCACATGAGTTGACTATGAATGCTGTTTTTTGCAGCTTACACATGTACCCTACACAGAGTGCTAGTGGTTGTCGATAAACTGCAGTCATATACCGTCAGCCATGCACTTGCATATTGCTGTTACAAAACGTATCTAAGCTCAGTAGTGAACATTTCCACGGTGTTTAGATTTCTTAACACAACCGAGTTCTAATTTGATACTTTATTTGTGATGAGATATGTATGATATACACTAAAGAGGTTTTAATGTACAACAAAAATAGTAATGCAGTATAAAACAAGATATAGGAGCGCTATTAACTGCCTCTCAGAAAAAAAAAAGGTTCCTAACTACACCCCATTCAGAATTTTAGTTACACATTGGAAGTTGTTAGTCACTATCTAGAAAAAAATGTGGCTGATCCCTCTTTCTGTAATCGGTACAACAGAGAAATGAAACGTGTTTTCACAGAGATAGTTGACCATTTATTGTGCATTGTTTTGTCACGTGGCTGAAGGAATTAGTGCTACAGCAATAAATTGCAAAGTGATGCAAAGAATGGCAAGCAGCAGCAGCTCGAAACTTGCAGCATGCACATAAAGCAGGAAGCACGCACATAATGAGCATACACTGGACAGACACGGACTCACAACTGTAACAGACCCTTAAAGCAAGCTGTAAAAACAAAAAGAAAGGCATATGAAACATACCCAAAAGCATACACAGGACAAGTGCAAACTGCTACATCTGTTAGTACTTCTTCATGCGTGAGCAGCATGCTTCTTTCGTAAATGCAGCCGCGAGTGAAGTGACCTTCGTGCTCTATTGAATCATGAGTCTAATAAGCATGCACAGGACAGGACAGACCACGCTCCGTGGAGGCGGCACTCTCCAAAACGCGAGAGTAGCGAGAGGTGACGACCTTTAGAGCAGGCCAAACGCGCGCTCGTTGCACCATCTTGCTACTTATGAAAACGCACTCAGTCTGTGGAGCTCCGAGAATTGCCAAATGGTACATGCTGCATTTAAATGGCTTGCCATTAAAGCTGTTGACTGCGTGCGCATTGTGGCGTTGTAATGAGCGCCACACACTGCAGATTGAGGGGTTGCTGGTTCAACACTGGCCAGAGAACCTTTACTTCTTATTTTTTTTCTTTCCAATCTATTCACATATATTTTACAACGTCGTATCCGTGACAGAAATACGTCAGCAGAGCCATGGTAGAACCCGACATAAAACACTTTCGTGCTAAAAATATTCATGTATCTCCATGAAGTGGATCGTGACGAGTAGGGAAAGCTAGGTACTAAGCTCCATAATGTCTACGATGATATCTGCGACTACAGTCGAACCCTCCTACAACGAAACTCACAGGGCGCGGAAAATATTTCGTTGAAGCGAGAATTTCCTTGTAGTGAAATCGAAAAATATATAGCTGATCTGAGCTAGCTAAACAAAGGAACGTTTGTTTTTAAAATTTATAAAAGTGTCCGCTGCTTCCTATTCTTTCCCAGCAGCGTCACGACGCGATTCAGAGTCATTTATGCATTGACTCCTATGCACTGCTGACGGGTAACCGTGAATTTTTCCTTGCAGCGGAAATTTCGTTGAAGCAGCGTTCGTTGTAGCAGGGTTCGAATGTAGTAAAATGGGCTTGTGCTCATTGGTATTTCATATTGTTTTGTCACAACTATGATTCATATTAGTGTGAATCATTTTTGGTGCCTCACGTAAGTTTCGGCTATACTGTACATTACCCAAGCGTTGCCCCGTATGATGTAAATTGATAGTCTAGTAGACATAAAGTGACGTGAAGTGGCATAAAGTGACATAAGGAGTAGACAAAAAAGCTAGTTCCTGAGATCCATACACCGACCCGTAGCTTTGTGGTAGTAGGAGTTTTATAATGTTCTTCCACAAATATAATTTATGTAGGTTAAACCTTTTTTTTGCATCTCATAATTGTTTTGATGTATGTTACCAGAGTGTTGCACCATATAATGTAAATTGATAGACATAAAGTGACATAAAGAGTTGACGACAAAGATAAGTCTTAAGGTCCATTATGCATACTTTGAAGCCCCTGACTAGTATAAAAGATGTGTGCTTGAAGGTGTTTTTTAATGTTCAATCACAATAATGATTCATATAAGTTTAATAATATGTTTCGACTATACCGTGCATTACCGCCAAGCATAGTCCCATACAATGAAGCCGTGACAACAGCATACTATATATATATATATATATATATATATATATATATATATATATATATATATATATATATATATATATATATATATATATATAAGGAAAGCAAGTGTGTACTCAAGGGCTCGTTTATGTTTTGACCCAACATTAATGAGATCTAACAGACAATAATGTCAAAGAAAGTATAGGGGAACTTATTAGACTGAATTGTATAGTAAATGTGAAGAAAAAAAAAAGTGGGTGAAAAGATAACTTGCAGTGGGCAGGACCCGAACCTGCGATCTTCGAATAACCCATTCGATGCTCTACCACTGAGCGTTATTCAAAGGTCGCAGGCTCGGTTCCTGCCCACGGCAAGTTAGCTTTTCACCCACTTTTGTTTCTTCACATTTGCCACTTGCTATACAATTCGGCGTAATAACTTCCCCTATACTTTCTTTGGCATTATTGTCTGTTAGATGTCATATTATATATATATATATATATATATATATATATATATATATATATATATATATATATATATATATATATATAGTCTTACAAATTTCTGTTTTAAATTTCAACAGCATTCGTGCTGCGTATGCCCACCACATTTTGTAGATATGATCGCCCCCGAACGATCTACGCGCCACTTTTCGTGCAAAACCTCCTAAGCTGATGAAGTGCCTTCTGTTAGGTGCCTCTTCAAAGACATGACACGTGTATAAGAAAGCACTATTCAGCCTGTTTGACCTCCTCTTTGAACATGCCTTCACATACCAGCAGAGCCACCATTTTTCAATTAACTTGCTTATTTTTTGAAACACCCAGCATATCCCTATAGTACCCACTGACTTGTAATAAACATACTGCACATAATACCACCAACATATTCCCTTTATCATATTTTCTGTTTCTCTGTCATTAAGACTGCATTTGATCTCTTAGATTAGCTACAATGTGGTCTGTGAGGGACGAGAAAAAAGAACCACTGCCTAATTATGCTTGGATGCACAATACTAAAAAACAGGCAACTGACACAACTTTTGTTTACATACTGTTCTTTTCACTGCCCATACTTTGCAGCTTTCACTGATTGAACTGATAATTTAAAACATTCTCCTAGAATAGGTACAAGCAAGCTCCACTTGCTCAAACAAGACAGCAATGAAATGTATACCAAAAAAGCATAATAAGAATACTCTTGGACAAATGAGTTCAACAAGCAGAGTCATCATTAAAAGGAAAAAGACTTTTCATAAATGTTAGAATGAATAAAGATACAAAACATGAACTCACCCTTCTGTAGATACATCATTGTGAGAATTTTCTCGAAGGTAAAGGCCAAAGTCAATAACACCTTGCTGGAGTTGAGAAAGAAAAAAAAGTATAGCAAAATGCACTAGCTTTGCATGAAGACACACACATAAGCTTAGTAAGTGACTGACATCATGAAGGCCAGAACACCTGAAAATACAAAACTACATCTCATAAGTACATTTCACACCTACCAATATTTAAAATAAACTTAAAAATAAGTGTCTATTGATTCCCTTGCCACATGATACTACAATACAAACCATAATGGTTGTGGCTATCACAATCATGGATACCTGACCACGGTGATCATCCAGCACACGTGTGCTGATATGTATGATTAGGCCACATAGGTCTAACACAGCGTAGCTTTAATTACACTTGGAGATACCTATAAAACATCCTCAGTGGTATAGTTAACAGCTTTCCTCATGACAACTGATCAAACTTAGTGCTCATGTGGAAACCTACACTGCTTCTCACAAGGCAAGGCAGAACTACTATTTTGCTGCTGATTGAGACAGAATCTTTGTAGACAGCAACTCCTATTTGTTTCTTTGCCTTGTATGATCACAAGGCTTAATTAAAAAAAAACATAAACTAAGATTTTTTTCTACTTCAGTGTCACACTTATTTTCTGACAAAGAAGAAATGCTGCATCCAGAAACTATTATGATACAAACTTCCGGCTGTCAGCTGCAGCACAGGCCCTACAATTGTGTGTGATCTGAAATGAAGCTAATACTGTAGGCTCTCATTAAACTGAACAAATTGGGAATACGTGTTCAGTTTAAAGAAGAGTTCCGTTCACTGAGAGTTGAACAGTGGTGCAGAATCGAAATATGAAACAAAGATCAGAGGCAATTCCCTTTGAGCAGCAGTTCCACTTAAGAGGTTTCCATTTACTGAGAGTCTACTGTATATAGACTAAACAAGATTCCTTTTAGGGTCAGGACAATGAGTTGTTTATTAACCGTAAATAAGTGTGTTTTTCAAGCAGAACCTTTTCACAAAAATAAGTTAAAAAGAAATAAACAGTCCTTTATCAAACTTATAGATATGAAGTTATAAGTAAGCAAAAAAATAGAATGAAAACAGAAGTCTTTTTGCACTCTTCAACAGGAAATCACATTTGCAAGCTTGCATATGACATATTATATGATTTTTATTTTGTCAGCTACAGCCCGTCTGATGGCCATGCACTACTCTGCAGATTTTCAAAGGCTACTTAACTGAAGCATGAAAACATCGATAATTGCCACCCTGAGGACGTGATATATAATACAATAAGTTGGTACAGCTAACAGGTTTTGCATACACAGGACAAGTAAGCTTTCTAAGACACTAAAAAGTTCAAATGACCCCATTCACGCAACACTTCTCCGGTAACTTTCTGGTCAAGAAAGAAGTCCTTTTTTTCTTCTTGCTCTTTTTTTTGCTTGAACATTAATCTTAACTAAAGCCCTACAGTAGCCATCCATGGCTTTTTAATACATTTTTTTACAAATTACAGAAAAAAACTGTCCTTTTATTTCCTCCATAATTTACTGCCCATAAATAAAACCACCACACATGGGGAAAAACAACAGCTTGTTTTAAATGTTTCAAACCTGCCCATCGCATTCTGCAGCCATTAATGGCTATAAACTATATGCCCATTAGGAAAATGAATATTTACAGAACCTCTCCAATCTCCAGTATAAATCTTATGGCTTTTGAGACTGCAACCAGTGAGAAAAAGTAAACAATGACCTCATTTAAAAGCTATATCTGCCGCACCTATGTGCATAAAAAACTTGTCAAAAACTTTTGAGGTCAAGATGAGATGGTCCTGCATTTATTAAAAACAGAATATTCTGGGCCAACACAGTCTACAGTAAATGAAATAACGAAAGAGGTGGCATGCAGCCACAAACACTGCATTTTGCAGCAGTAAACAGCTTATAAAACAAAATGTTAACATGGCTAATCATTGATTATTTAAAAATCAAGAAAAAGCACCACGAACAGCAAAAGTAAGTAAAAAAATCAAATGAACAAACAGTTACTCATAGTTCTCTAGTTGAACCTGGATATAATGAAATTGATAAAGTCCCAAGAAAATTCGTTATACTAAAGAGAATTTCGTTATATGCAGGTTCGGTACGAAAATTCAGAAAATAAACACACAAATTAAACCAATGCAGGACTGAAGGCTGAGCTAACCCATAACACTTATTTTAGAGTAAAAAAAACTGCGTTATTATTGCGATAGCAAGTATATAGACACACTCAGAGGGTTTTTGCCGTTGCCGCCATGTTACGTAATAAGTACAAATCGATAACATGCCCCCGCGCATCGTAACTTTCACGAGCGGGTAAAAGTGCACGAGCGCGGCTGAAGCAGAGATCACATGAGTCGTCCCAACCCTATCATCTGGAAAGTGCATAAGATAACATCTCTCGTGTGTTAGAACTGCCGTCGAATGCTAACACAGAAAGTAAACCACCCAAGCATGAAACAGTGCTGGGAGGGGGGGGGGGGGGAATCGCTCGAGTAGCAATAGGGAGTTTTATAATAACGTTTGCAGGCACTGTGGGCGTCGCCGGCATAGCGGGCGCCATATGAGCTTTAGAATAGCGTTTGCCCTTTTGACAACCACAACGCACAATCGCAGCGACATAGCCTCGAAACCAGCGTTTGTGGGCCGCACACGCGGCCACTATTTTGGATTTTCTGCAGACGGGCCGCGAACACGAACCGAGACTCGCGTTATGACGTATGCACAGTGGCAGCGACCGCACCGCAAGGGTTCGTGGTGCGCTATTCTAAAACTCCCTAAGAATGGACTTGGATTTTCGCTTGGATCGCTGGTGTGCTTGCTATCTTGGAGAGTATCATTGCGGTTTCGACGGGAAGGGACTGTGTGAAAAGAGTACTTCTCCCTGGAGCGGTCGATTTGCTCACACCTGGGTTTTGAAGGAGTTTCGCCACATCCGTCCATAAGAGTTGGCTGCCAGCCTTACTTCTTATAACATTACATTTTTTTGCTATCGCATTCATTGCACTGCATTCAACGCGCCGTTGTAATGGCAGAACTAATTGGCTAATCGCGAAATCTAGCAGCTTGCGAACTCGCGGCACAAGACGGCAGCGCGTGACGAGTCAACCTGCGAAGATCCGTCGTCACCGTGGTCTCTGAGAGTTTCCTTCGGCGCCTAATCCGACATCCCCTTGGTGGTGACGACACGGTTGTCCGAAATAAAGAAAAGTCAGAGTTTCGCCGCAAGGGCGAAGCAATAAATGCGATAGCAACAACTTGGAATATAACGCTGAGAATGGCAAGCAGACCAAAACGTGCAGCGCGATGCTCACGCACAAATAACAGATGAAAGCAACACATACACAGAACAAGAGCGAACTAACCACCTTTGCCCAGTTTTTTTTTTTTTTTTTTTTTTTTTCAGAAGTACTGCCAGCCTCACACATGAGGCCTTAGGCAGGGGTGGGTGATACAAAAAAAGGAAACAAATATGAAGATACAACAGGAAAGGAAACACGTCCCGTAAAGTTTACACCATGAAGAACTAGTACATCAAAGTAAAATGCCAGTACTTACACAATTGTAATGGTTTAGGCGTACACATACAAAAAGAAAATATGATGACAAACGTCTGCTTATACAGAACTAAGAAACAAATATCATATAACAGTTCAAAAATCACAACATTTCAAAAATACAATGCATTGATATGAAAAAAGTGATAAAAAGTGGAACATAAATAAAAGCCTGTTCATGATACGCAGTGGAAAAATAGAGGGCGAAGCGCAAAGAAAGATCAAAGTCAAGTGGGTTGCTGGTGTTTAAGTTTCTCCATGAACGACTGAACGGTTTCGCAGTTCACCAGATCGGCAGAAAGAGCATTCCAATTAGTGACAGTGCGCGGAAAAAAAGTGTTTTTAAAGGCTTTTGTTTGACAGGAATATTCCTTCAGTTTTTTTTAATGCTCAGAACGAGTTGATCCTCGGTGAACCGTTTTTATGTACGCGTGCTTGTCTATGCGTAACTTGTCATGGTAAAGTAGAAATATGTACTTCAATCGATCGTGTTGCCGTCTTGCCTGCAAGGTATCCAAGTCAGCTTTTTTTAACAGTTCACTGGGTGACGTCAGAGCGCTGTAGCGATTATATACAAATCGGATTGCTTTTCTTTGAATCACTTCAAATGTTTTAATATTTACTTCACTATGAGGGTCTCAAACCACAGATGAATACTCGAGGATCGGACGGATAAAAGTTTTATATGCAATTAATTTTAATTTGGGGGTAGATTAGCACAAAGAACGTCTTAGAAATGCTAGTTTCTGTAAAGCTTCCTTTTCAATGTAGGCAACGTGCTCATTCCACCTAAAATCTGCACTTAATACAACCCCCAAATATTTATAAGTTTTAACAAACGATAGTTTTTGACCATTGATGGAATATGAGTGTTTCAAAGGAAGCAGCTTGCGCGTAACGGTCATAGCTACCGTTTTATTTTCATTAATCTTCATTTGCCACACTGCACACCAAGAAGATATTTTTGTTAACGCTGCGTTTAAAAGAACCTGGTCGTCTGCACTACGTATTTCCTGATAGAGAATGCAATCATCTGCAAATAACTTAATGTTAGTTCGCTGTGCTCGCAAACGGTGCCTGTCCAGCGAGCGAAGTAGTCTTGGTGCACCCGGCAACTAAACGCAATCGTTACAGTCCAAGTTGAAGGCGCGATTTTCCCCACCGAAGGAAGAGCGTGCACACAAGCATCTAACCCCCCCCCCCATTGGTGGGGAAAAGCATAGAGTTTCCTAAAACTAATTAGAGGGGACTCTGTTGCTGGAACCGTTCAGCGACCATGGGAATGATGGGTAGTACACACATTTGCCTAGTCTTCGTACCTGCAGGTGGCGAATCGTACTTACGGCTTTTTAATGCTGTGTTTCGGTTTTGTTTTGAAAGAAAGAGTCAACCCTTTTGAACTTCGTGACCCGATTCCGAAAGGTAAGTCTAAAAGAATAAGGTGCTGAAGCGCAACCGCTGAACATTTGCTGATTTTGTTTCGTAAAAAAACAGCTCCAAGCCACACAAACACACATGGAGCCAAAAGCAGGTCATAAGTACGAAGATTCGACAAATGTGTGTACTACCCATCATTCCCATGCTCGCTGAAGCGCCGTGCGTTGCAGCTCCCATAGACACTAGCGCCAGAGTTCCCTCTAGTGTAATTTAGGAAGCTCTATGCGGAAAAGTACGCGTAGGAGATAAGCGCGCTTTTTTTTTTCTTGAGTTTTCATATACATAAATACGTATACATATACTGTGAATGACAGCGGCGGTGGCAAAAAACCAACCAAGACTGTCCCAAGGAGGATTAAAAAACATTTTTTAATCCTCCTTGGACTTTCCATATAGTTATATCACACACACAAAAAAGCAAAGCTGAGGGTAGTCAGGGGCCACATCATGTGCGCGCAGTGAAGCGATGCACGCGCGCACGGCGTCGAAAACGAAGAGCGAACGACACGAACACATACACGAATACCGCGGAAAACTATTAGGTAAAGCGCCCTCTACATGCAGCACGATCTCACATATGTGACGCTAACTAAAGGCGTGGCAATGCCAAAACGCAAAAGTATTATTTTTTTATTTTGGTTTGGAGGGATGGCACACCCGCGCATGCACCCGCGATGGCGAGAAAGGCTTCAACGCCGGCTCGTGGGTTGCAGGCCCGCCTCGCACTTACACGCACACAGGAACGAGCGCTTGCTCTCGCCTGGTGTGCCGTGCGTGCTGCCGCCGCCTCGCGCTTTGTCTTCAGCGGGGCAGCCGCACAAGATGCATGCTCGCACCAAAATGCGGAAAAAAATTCTAAGATTGTTCGTGGGAAAAATTCGTTATATCAAGGTTGTCTCGCACTGTTACTTTGTTACATAGAGATCAAAATACATGTGCTTCTAGGAAGCAACAGCTGAGAATATAAAAACTTCGTTATATAAAAGGAATTCGTTATATGAAGGTTTGTTATAAGCAGGTTTAACTGTACTTTTCTCACAGTTAACTTTTGTTCCTCAGTCACCCCTGCACTTTGCTCATGCTGATAATAAATGCTGAATGTAGATGACAATGAAAGCTTAAGTCGCCACAGAGATGATTAATAAAAAAATGGCATCAACAGACCTGCGAATCGAGGTCTTCTTCTTTCACACAAAGGTTGCAATCAATGACATTTAGGCCAACAAGAAGGCCGCCAATCACAACAGCCTCTTCAGACAGAATCAAGGCATCATCCTCGTAGAAATCTCTGAAAAATATTTTCTTCCTTCAGCTGACAATCCAGAAAAAGTGCACAACACAAAATATAAATAACTTAAGTGGGAAATAGCAAACAACACTAGGGGGTGTCATAGTAACTATGTTGGAGAAGCAGTTATACACACCGCATAATATCACCTCTCCTACAGTGCAGGATGGAGTATTGTGTATGTGTGCGTGCACATGCATGTGTGTGTAATATATACACCTACCCTTTCAGCATGTGTCTACGATGTTTTCTTGAAGAAAAACTCAACATTCATGCATCATGCAGAAAAACAATGAAGAACAATGAAAAACAAAACAAGAGTACTGCAAGCAAAGAGGTTTAAATAAAAAGTTCTGGAGTGGAAATTATGTTTGGTAAGTGAAGGCAGACTGCCGCCATCTTACTCCAGGCACAATAAAATGTTAACAAAGAGCACAAGGACAACATCGCCCCGCTCACTCACTGTACCAATTCAATCACGGTAATTTCTTCTGATACATACTGCTCAAAATGTGTCCTAGTGTTAATGGTTACCTTAAAAAGCCTCCAAGTCTAAGAAAATATTAGCATATAGCAGGCAACCTGTATTAAAAGCCATATTTATTACTTTTGTCAAGAGCAGTGATCTCTTATTCTATGTTTAGGCTAGCATTCACTTCAACACAACGAAAGCACTTCAACTCGGATTTGGTATCAGGCGAGAAAGCCATGTTTTAAGATAGACTTCAGGCAAATGCTAGCTTCACATCTGTTGCCAAGACACAGTGAAAGCTTCCACTTTAGAATTTTTTTTAAGCCTCTTTGAATGCAAGTCAATTCGATGTTGATGGAAGGTGAAGTGGGAAGGATATTAAGCTGCTTTTTGGCAGGGACTCAACAACTCTTTTTATGATATGTACAATAGTTATTTTGGCATCAAGGGTGAAAAACCAAGCCCTTCACTCTAGCCTCCCCCTTTTACATCATGTGGAAAATGACACGAGAAGACCAGAAGAGAATTAAAGGAGCATAGAGTTCAATTTCAAACATAGCCATTCGATGAAGTTCACAGTGCACAAGTCACTCCGTTACCATTTTAATCCTCGTATAAAATTTGCATATTAGCTCATTATTAAAATGAAGAAATCTAAAACATGCAATGACCATGACCACTCAACCAATGCTCGTATAAAAGTAGTGTCTGCCACAACTGGATAACAAAGCATGTGTGATTAAACAATGCCACAGAATATTTAACGACAGTGCCAAAATGTTTAATTACTCTTGATTTGCTGCATTTTTATAGAAAATATCAATATATCTATATATGAATGTATATTGATCTTAAAAAATGCATAAGAATGAGAACTGAGGTATCCGTTTGTTCAAATAGACAGTAATCAACAGTTTTACACTCGCGCCCCACTGCGGAGGTCTAGTGGCTAAGGTACTCGGGTGCTGACCCGCAGGTAATGGCATTGAATCTCGGCTGCGGTGGCTGCATTTGCGAAAATGCTGTAGGCCCGTGTGATCAGATTTGGGTGCACGTTAAAGGAACCCCAGGTGGTCGAAATTTCCGAAGCCTTCCATTACGGCCTCTCCCATAATCATATGATGGTTTTGGGACGCTAAATCCCGCATATCAATCAAATCAATAAACAGTTTTACACATGCTAAACATGGCATAAGCTGTCTTCAATGCCTTCCGTACCTTTATGGAGGCATAAATCTGTTCAACAAAGGTGAATTTAAAATTAGATCACAATACAGTAGCCACCCATCTTGGAGAGAGGTACGGCGCAATCACTATTCATTTGTGGGGGAGTCTTGATCATTTGAAGGTCAATCTATCTGCCCAAAGTAGAGCATCATTTGTATTTATGGTGGCTTAAAACAAAAAAAAATAAAAATTGGCCATACAATCACATCTTTACCTCCATCTTTGGCAACACTAGCCAGCAAGGCTACATAACACAGCTGCATTAAACTGAAGGCTTCATTATAATGTGCTGCAATAAACACCCCTGGTGTCTACTTCATGACAAGTGGTTATAACTAATGAAATTAATAATCGGATTAGCATTACACTTCACCAGATATAGAAGTACTACATTCCTATGCACTACTTATGGTTGATAATGATGATAATATTATGTCACTCAACATCGAATTACTGTTTACTAGTGTTCTTATGCATCTAGTAGTGAATGCATTCAAGGTGGACGGAGAACTCGGGAAACATAAGTACACAGCTTTGCGAGGATGCTGCAGTTCTGCTTAGCAAATACTTTGCTTTCTCAATAGGGTCACTGAAATAGCCCCCGCAAAAGGTGGTATACTTAAGCCATTGCACACCCTGGATAAATTATATAGGTACTATAACAGTGGCTACAGGACAAAAATGCCCAAGGTAAAGCGTGTTGCATGTACTAAAAGCCATGGGGGGCCACCTGGTATAGCTGATTTCTAACACAGTACTACCTGCTAAGACAGGGAGTGGCATGCTGCATGCTATTACTTTAACGGCATTCCTAACACTTAGCACATACTAATTGAGTTCTGTAAACTTGCAGTGAATTCCGATATCTCAAAAGTTGTCTCTGCAGTCTAATCGCATTTTCCGCTGAAGTATTTATTTAGTTAGTGGTCACCAAATAACATAATTAATAATAGCCACAAGCAATTATGCTTCTATATCAGAAAATGTCAGCAAAGTATTCCTGTTAAAATGGCAATTAAAAAGCTTGATTGATTGATATGTGGGGTTTAACATCCCAAAACTACCTTATGATTATGAAAGACGCCTTAGTGGAGGGCTCCGGAAATTTCAACCACCTGGGGATCTTTAACGTGCACCCAAATCTGAGCACACAGGCCTACAACATTTCCGCCTCCATCAGAAATGCAGCCGCCACAGCTTGGATTCGAACACGCGACCTGCAGGTCAGCAGACGAGTACCTTAGCCACTAGATCACCGCGGCGGGGCGCAATTATAAAGCTGCTTGCCATTTGCTCTAATTATCAATTTTCAATCAAACCTCTTTACAACTTTTTGTTGCATCACTGAGCACCTTCGAGATTTCCTCTGTGATACACAATGTGTCTATGACCTTACCATAGTAGGATTTCAAGGTTTTTTTCATTTTCCCTTTCAGCAGATATGAGAACAGGATTTCGAAATACCGACATCGCCCTATTTGGCTGTTAGCATTTCATTTAAGCTTAGAACTTTTCATTTATTTTTTATTTTTTGCAAAAGCTATTAAACCCGTTTTCACTACTCATATCCGATAGAACTATTCAAACACAGATATAGATAACATAGCTCAAACCAATTCTTTCTAGCTTCACTTTTTGAAAAGAAAGCTTGCTATAGAGGCCTCTTTAAGTGTTACCTATATTAGACTTTGCATTAAGTCTATTTATGAAGCACTTGCAACAATTTTATTAAAACATGCAGATAAGCCAATAAAATCTTCAAACCATCGACTGCAAGTATTGCAGGTGCAGTCCAAATTCTTCAAATAAGAAAGTGATCCAACAACCAGCCCTGCCCTGCCGAGACTGGTTCAAAGGTATAGATTACTTACCCATTACCAATTCATCCAAAGTGAACTTACGTTGCAGTTGGTATTTAGGCAGCACTATGGAATGCTGAACAGTTGTATTGTGGTCAACAATTATGTGCAAGCAACTACTGTTTGCTGTTTTTGCACAACAGTAGTTTGCAGCACTGCCAGCTGACAAAAAAAGCAGGCATATTGCTCCATTCAAGAAAAAGTGTATAGTGGGAAGACATAATATTTTTACCACTGCCACAAGGAATGTTGCAAGAGACAAGTCAATTAATGGTTGGAGGACTTATTATATGATTAAAAGAAAACTGCACATAGCGATTGACTCAAACAGTGTGCCAATTGCTATTTATGCCAAAATAAATCCTTATCTGCAATTTACAGCTAAAATTGAAGAAATATGCCTTTTTCAATTAAATATTTCTGTCACATGCTAATACTGGATTTCAAGATTGTCTATATATTCATTAACAAGATTTAAAAAAACAGGCAGATAAACAATCACTTACCTAAGAAGTTCATCTTTCTTGTCGACAACCAGGCGAAAATAGTCAGCCAGCTTCTTCTGCATCAACGCAAGCCTCAACCATGCTCGGGCTCGACCCAACTGACTCCTGTTCAATGCGTAACAAAGAAACAGGAGTGTGTGTGATGTAACCGAAATTGACATAAAATATGCATATTGTGTTAAAACACGGAAAAACGAGCCCTTAGGTATACACTTTTTTCCCTTATATAAATATATTATATATATATATATATACACACACATACAATATGCCCTTTTATTACCGAAAAATGAAACATCTGTCCACAGATTAAAATAAAGAGGTGCAATATAAAGGCTCACTATAACGCACCATCAATACACATTCTTTTCAAACCATGTGTGCGAATGTTAAACTGAAGTGATAGGCTAAATTGACATGATGTAATGTGAAGCTAGACGCATGCATTATGTTATCTGAATAGTGTAATAAATACACTGTGCTGAAAGTACTATAGCACGATCACAAGCAATGAAAAACACATAAAAGTAAACATATTTGACAGAGATCTGTTTGGCAGGGTAAAATTATATGAATACATAAGCTCTCCAGTCACGTTTGGTGTATATTTTTTAACATTAAATTGAAAACTGGTCCTACGGTGCATCGTTTCGAGACCCATTTAACCTCTTCTTCACGGGTTCTGGGGGGTGACTGTCTAGTTGACTCCAAAGCTAGTGACTTTTCTTGCTGGTTACCACCCTCTCCACCACCGTGGGGACAACCACTAAGAAAAGTCGCCAGCTTTAGGACCAGATGGGCAGTCACCTTTCGAAGAAGACACCAAATGGGTCTCGAAACATTGGGCCAGTTTTTAATTACAGTAAAACCTTGTTAATTCAAACTCGGTTATTTCGAAACATCACTTAATTCGAAGGATTTCTGCGGTACCGTATTTTGCAATGTAAGCTTGAGTGGATAATTTGAAGCGGCGGCCGGCACCAGTCCGGTTAATTCGAAAACTTTGGGTGCCATGTGCCAGTTCCAGATCCCAATTTCGCCGCGAATCCGCGGGAATGACGACCATTAATTACCACAAGGCAACGCAACGTATCGATACTAATGAGTGGAAGCTGAAGCACCCCAGTCTCGCTATTTCCAGCGCAAAAAAAAGAAAGAAGAAAAAACGGTCTCGTGGTCAAACAAAACGTGCGCCCGCAAAAAATGAGCCATGCTTCAATGCAACACAGTGGTGACACGCGGGCAGCTTATCGCATGTTTCTCGCAATGTCAGCGGGTCATGGTTTACCCATTCTTTCTGTGATTGTAAAAAATTAATAAAGGACAGCTTAGCGGGAATCGCGATATATGCGAACCTCCGATTGCCGGATACTCCAGCTATTTCCGTCTTTGCACTGCTGGCGGAGTTCTTATTAGCAACAGCTACTTCAAAAACTAAATTCGAAAGTTTCAAAGATAATTTTTTCCAGCCAAAACACATCGTGAGCTTCGTCATACTGGCCATTATTAAATTCATAATTATAATAGAAAGAATGTGCGTATGGTCACATCATGACGTGCTGATACAGTGAGGAGCAGGCGACATGCTGCGCCCGTGTCACTACTGCGTTGCAGTGAAGATATCTTGTTTTCTGCGGGCACACATTTCAGTGACGAACGCGTTTTCATTTTTTTTTTTTTCATAGCGTGCACTATGAAAATGCTAATGCCAGCATGTGCCCGTGCAGCGTGATCAAGCAAGTATACTCCTTAAAAGGCCAGTAAACAACCAGAAGGTCCAAAAATTGTCATAAAGAGAAATATGTGCACTTTTACTTCATGAACATGCTGCCACAACAATTTTGCGAACATACGCTATATTAAGGAAGTTACCGGGGTGAGAACATCGGTTTCAGCTGGTTATAAATTATCGCGCGGTCTTGCCACCCTTCTTTCTCAAAGGGAGGTGAAGGCGTAGCCCATCATTGTGACTTTGCCCTCTTCAGCAATGTGACACAACGTCAGCAATTGCCGTCATCAGCAAACTCCATCAGTCGCAACACACTTATGCTGGCTGAGATGCCTGGCTGTTTACTGTTCACCCGATGCCGGTGCTTCTCCGCAGCCCAGTTGCTCGATTTTCAGCCGACAACGATTTGTAGCGAAACTGCGATCTAAAATTTGGACATGCAGTTGGCCCGATTTTTCGGAAGTTAGCAGACTGCCGCGTCATCTGGGAGCAGCAACACAGAACAAAAATAATGCATCAAATAGTGGGTGTGCTGATCAAAAGGTGGCGCGAGAATCTGCTTACTCGCAAAAACTGGGCCAGTGATGTGTCCGGATTTCAGTACATGGAGCCTACGGAGAGTTTTGCAACTCGTATGATTGAATAACTCTGTTGAAGCTGTGGGGAGATACTGTGGAAACAGGAACTGTCGTTGACTTGACTACTGTTGGTTGAGACCTTGTTTAGACCAATCGACGAGCTGCGTGCTGCATCAAGTAGCCAATAACCGAGTTGACATCACTGCGCGTGGAAGGAGGTTCGTGAGACGCAAAAAAGATGCGCGGGAATCGTTTAAAGCGCTGTAATATTCAGAAAACGTTAACGCTGAGGCATACTCTCGATTTGCCGAGCATTCTTGCGGGGTGTAAAAGAAAAATCGGAGCCTGTTGATTGCCCTTCAAGAATGAAAAGCAAATGCTCGTCAATCAGAACTAACTTTAAGTAAGAGGAGCTGTATCATTAGAGCTCTCGAAGACTTAAGAAGCTTATAGCTCTGTTTCTAAGAATAAAGAGTGCAAAGAAAAGGATTCTACATAATGCTCTATGGCTAGCAGTGGTGGCCCTATTATTGGACCCCCCTCACTTTACAAAGTTAGCGTCCCTTAGTATACCTTCAACAGTCAATGCAGAGTAGACAAAGGACAAGAGAGGGAACAAAGACAAGTAGCGGCTTCCAACGAAGTATTTATTGAAGAAAATGCACATCTATATATGTCGGCTCAGTTGGAAGTCAGCGTTTGTCTTAGTTCCCTCTTTTTGTCCTTTGTCTACTCTGCACTGGCTGTTGAAGATAGACTACCGACTAGCCCAATTCGAAAGCTTACCCCACTATACCATCTCTTTCATTAGTAACCTCCCACCTTTACAGAAGGCAACTTAAACCACGCAGAAAGTCCAACAAACACAGGCCATTACATTTGCTTGACATGCCTAGTGCCAATGCGTACACAAAATGAAAATAATAAATGCCGTCAACTAACTTGACAGTTGGAAGATCTCGTACGCTCGTTGTAATGTCAGCCGCTTCAGGTACAAACTTTTCAACTGCCTCAAGGACATTCCAAAGTTCTTTCTTAGGTCCCAGAATGCCTTTTTTAGCTGAAAGTAGGATAACAAGCAAAATCCTCATAACACCCACTTTGCAATAAAAGTGAAAGTAAAAGCCTTGAAAACTGCCATAAAATAAGTCCCTTTCCACTGCTGATCAAACCCAGCGACCACTAACCAGAGATACAAACAAGAGTCACATGTATATGCCTGCACATGAAAGAAAGATGACACAACGCAGCAGTGGAAGTGGCACACTATACCACTATGCTCCAATCTTAAGTAAACAAACAACTACCTAAAATTACCCCCACAAATACCAGAATTTTCAGCTACACTGATCGAGAAAGTCTCCCACAGTCATCCATAACTTCGAGTTTATGACATACCCCATAGCTTTCTTGCTCTCTAATGATTCATGGAAGTGGGCATACAGAAAAAAACCTGCATTAGCTGGCAGCATAACTGCTATCAATCACTCACTATGCAAAGGGAAGGCGTCTTTCATGGCAAAGTAAGCAGTGTGGATAAGCACTTATAAAACTTATATATATAAAATATAAACACTTATAAATCAGTGCTATTTGCATCATTACTTTCATGTCTTCAACATGTGCACTGAAGTTAGTTCTTGCCAAGGATAAGCTTCGTTATGTGTTTTACTTGTTGAGCCAAACAATGCAAAGCCTTAATTATGCAGATAACAGTAGTAAAAATAAACAGGACACAAGAAGGCAAAAAAAAAAAACTACACACATAGCTCAACTTTTTTTTTTTTCCGCTTCCACTCATGCACAGGTATTGCAACCCCTTTCTTGACAGTCCAATAGAAGAATCGCTGACACGTGTATTATCAGCTCTATCTATCTATTCAGCTTCTACCACGAAACATGCTACTTAACAACCCCTACTACCTAACATGATGGTGTTTTGAAAGAGTGGGTTACATTTGCATTTCTACCAATGTAGAGGCAGGAATCTATCTGGCAGTGTTTTATTCACTCTGTTACTATGCTCTCTCTGTTACCTTCTTGCGTCCTGTTTTTAGTGTTGCTGTTGTTATCCAAATATGATGTAAAATAAGTCTGCCTTGCAATTTTAATCACCTTGATTATCCTGAGTAGCAGTAGTGTGATGATAAGAAATACGCTTATTCCTTCAGCTCATAAGGGAGCATGGCTCAGCATCATTGGGGGAAGGGAAAGTGGAGTGAAAAAAGAGAGTGGTAAAGAAAGGCCCCCTTCTCAAGATACGAGTGCCCACAATGCCAAGCAGTAAGGCAGTGTTGTGAGTATACTCTCCCTATTAAGAAAGCAAGGAGGTGCCCGGTGCTGCTGGGAATCAAAACACAGTGGCTCCTGCAACTGGAGGTGGACACTTAACCACTTGGTCACAGATGTAGTTTGATTAACTTTAGTAGAAATAGTGCGAAGAAACACAATGCGAGAAAGGGGTGGACAATGATGCTGCCCTTTCTTACGCCTTTTTTTCCACCGCTTCTACTCAAGTAAAAATCAACCAGCCAAACACTCTCGCTTCTGCCTTCTGTATGTTCACAGCACTGAAACTGACGTCAGTTACTGTTCCAGCACCACATTGAGAGTAGGAACACATGGTTTTTGCACTCCACCATGGGAACAAAGAGAGTGCACTTATCCCGCTTTGATGCGACGTAACAACTATTGGTACCCTGTTTCTGCAATAAAAATGCTGAGCCAAAATAAGGTCTTTCATTCATGAAGCATTCAAGCCAACTGTGACGCACACTGTCAATGGTAAATACAGTTATTTATTTCTTCTTTATTCAAGGATTATCCCACATTAACCAGAGGCATTATAGCAGGGGGGCTTGCAGAAGAGGAAAAAAAAAAGAAATCTTCATTCGAACTGTGCGCTTACTCTTCTCAAAAACGGTTTCACTACACAATAGTTTTGACAAAGAGTATGCAAACAAGTCATAGCCCGGTACTCACGTTGGCACGCCACTTGCGTACTCATGGTCAAGTGAGTATAGTGATTATTCATTTCAATTCTTAATACTTAAGAGACCTGTTGGCCCTACTCCAGCCTTTTTTCATGTTAAAAAAAAAAAAAGACCAGCCTTCTGACTTTTTTCTTTTCCCTTCTCTAAGTCTTTTATGCTTCTTGCAATTAATGAAGTGCTGTTTGCTTATAACAAGTTGTTTACGTCTGTTACTTTGATTCTTCCTCTTATAATCCTGTTTTTCTGAATTGCCGTTCCTGAATACATGAGCTGTTTATAGTAGAACAGTACAACCCTGCCTGACTCCTTTTCAAACTTTAAGCCAAGCTCTGTTCCCAGCATTCATCGTAACAAGTGCTTCTTATCTGATGTACAGGTTTCTTAACAGAATTATGAGGTGTTCAGGAACACCCATTTTTCTGAAATGTACGGGAAACATGGCATGATAAACGAAGTCAGAAGCCTTGGTACAATAGATGAAGCAAAAATACAAAGGCCTTGGTATTAAAGAAAACAGCACAAAAAATAAGGTTCCTTTGCACCATTATGTTTCTTAAGCTGGTTTATCTTTCTTAAGTATGAATCAACCTGCCCAAGTATCCTTCGCAATCTTTGCAACTTCCTATCCGCTCTCCAATATTTACTATGCAATCTCTCATACACTGCCCTATTCTGAAACTTGTCTGCTCTGTCACCATCTGTCTTTTCATGTAACAGTTCTATGGCATTCAGTATATTTATAGTTAAAAGCACAGCTCAGCATGAGTGAAGAAGAATAAAAAAACTTGCATTAACAATGGTGCTAAACAAAGCTTCAAGAAAAGCTATTTTAAAAAATACAAAAACTTGTACATAGCTTGCATTAATCTAAGGTACACCACATTTACCTCGTTTTGTAAATTTTGTTAAATTTTGTCACCACCATTTTGAATGTTCTGTGCACAAAAAAAACTTGACAATAAAATGCAACACACCAAATACATACATATTTTAAGCACTTATGCTATTTGATATTAGAGAAGTACATAGTTTAAAATAAAAATAATATTTGATGCTTTACGTCCCTAAACCACTATGTAAGTAAGAGATGCCATTGAGGAGGGCTCTGGAAATTTCGACTACCTTGTGTTCTTTAACGTGCACTGACAGTACACGGGCTGCTAGTATTTCACCTCCATCAAAATGTGACGGCCACAGTGGGGTTGATATCAAGCCCACGACCTTCAGGTCAGCAGCCGAGCACCATAACTGCTCCAGCATGCCGGATGCAAAAGTAGTTCAAAGCTGTTGATGAATGCTGCAATATAACTAATGCACAGCTGATGTAGAGTGAATCAAGTTAGTAGCAGCTAAATAGTTGGATGCACCACTGCAATTTAGATAGTGTTCATGCAATGTGGTGCCCGGTGTATGTCTTGGTGTCTCCATTTATATACATGATGCGCAGAAAGAAAAGTGGCTTCATGAATGAAGTTGGCGCCACTATAATTTGTAATAATTAATATAAAACTTTTCGGTAGCTCATCCTAGCATTCCTAAAAAAAAGAAAGAAAGAATCACTTACGTTTCAAGCCATGTCGAAGGACATGTTCAAGCAAGATAAAAAAATGCTGCAATGGAGGATGGTCGGAGTCGAGCATACGCCCAAACTTCAGTGATGATTCTATGAGCTCTTTCACAACCAGCTTGGTCAAGTTGAGCAGGTTGGAACGCTCTATAGCCACAGGATCTCGATCTGGAGTTCAAGCAGGGATCAGCAAGAGCAAAATACAAAAGGAAACAACCAAGATGGTGCTTTTGAATATAATGTCATGCACTGAGCGCCACCACTGACAAAAAGTCGAAACCTGGAAAACAAAAAAGCGTGTCAGATTTAAACTAGTTGTTTGCTTCTGTAAAAAGGAAAAACCTTATAAAAGACAAAGGTTGCTGACAAAAATGTTCTCCAATATTAAATAACTGTACTGAAGTTGATGCATATCTTCTGCTGACAAAAATAGCTTTGTGCCATGTTCTCCAACAAAAGTATTCCCCAACTTACTCTTTCTACTACACTAATAATGACCAGCCCATTAGTACACTAAACATAAATCACTAAGAGCAGCACCAGACAACGCCCAATACATCACAGCTCCTGTGGCTAGGCTAAATGTTGCCATAATCAACCTAGGTGAAAATTCCAAATTTTCGTTAAGCTGCCATAAGATCAGATATTTCTAATTTCCAAATAAACAAAGCACTGCCAATGTGCGTGTAGACAAAAATAAGTACCCGTTTGTTGTAAATGTAAAACGATGGTAAAAAATAAACCCGAGTTTAACTCTTTCGTTACCACACGAAAATAGTTTTTCATATGTCTCGGAAAGATCGTTTTTGCCAGTTGGAAAAGTACTCCAGCACTCATTGCAGCGTTCCAAACTTTGCACAACGGACTGCTCTTTTCAAGAAATGTATGTTGTAGAGCAACAAAAATATTCTAGAATGAATAAAAAAAGTGAAAAGTGTAGAATTTTTGGTGACAAGCTGGTAAATAGTGCAATAAAAAAACACGATATATACAAAAATATTAAAAACAAAGAAAATTCAGAATATACATTTTGTAGATAAATGACCCAGGATCAGTATAAAAAATAATAAATGTTGTACATGAATGTTTCTCTTCACATAGACAAAGAAAATCAGAACCGAGGTGCTGCTTTGTTGCTCTTGCCATGCGGTGAAGCATTGCATGGTTTTTCGTGAGACACAAGTGTACTTGTACACTTTTTCTCAGTAAATGTTTGTTGTGTTGTGATAAGAGTCTCTTGATGTACCAATAGAAGTAGAGGGATACCCGTGATATGAATAATCCCTCTATAAAAGAGATGTCAAATGAACTTCGCTATTCTATCTAGCGTCACCTCTTTCCATGAGCCACCTTACACCACATAGGTTAGCAATCCAATATATGCAACCAAGCATATTTCTTTGCATCTTTGCACGTATTGTATTAAAAAAAGGACAATATCGCGAGCAGTTCTAAAACATTTTGCACTGCTCCGTAGTCAGGGCCAAGATGTGCTCCGGGGGCCTTTTTGTTGTTAAGAGACCCTCTGCAGACAGCGAAAGCACACTGCGCCCCAGCGAAGTGTGGACCATGCACATAACCAGACTAGCTATAAGATTGTGTACAAAGGTCAGGAGCTGTACACACTTGCGGTAGAGGCAACAACTTGAGGATGTAAACAAAACAAACCTATGAACGGCTGTGGATGTATCAGACTGATGCAAAAGATCGTCGCCATAAAACTTGAAGCTGAGGTGCTGCTATCCTTGAATGCTAAGCTCGTCGTCACTCAATACAAGTGGGGTTGAAAGACAGTTTCGAGCAGAGCATGTTTTTAGCACTGATGTGCACATGTGCACGTGACGATGACATCATAGGATCGACTAGTGACACTAGATGCGACCCTGTGTATGATATAATGATGGAAGGAAACCGAAAGCTGCTGGAAACTGTCATAGAAGGCCACCTCAACACTTTAAACACGTTGCAGACCTTTACAAATATTTTTTGTAGAAAAATTTTTTCCTGACTCCTAGGAACAGCTTTCTATTGAATCTATGGCATAAAATTTTGGCTATCATTACTGCTCAACATAGTTAGATTGGGAGGCTGACACTTTAATTCGATATTTGTCTTGCAACGGTTCTTTTCATTACAAAACATCGATGTTACTGTACCATAATCATGACGGGCATGCACTTCTGTCAAGTTCGCAAGCCTAGTGCACTTTTCCAATAATACACGCCCATTGGTTCGCGCAAAGGTCTGTTGAAAATCACTATGTTGCCGAAACGGGCAAATTCAAATTGATTCTGAAAGTTGCATGGCTGTACTTAGAAAGTGATTAGAAAGTGCTGGGTGCATGAGAAACAAATTGAACATGCCAAAATCGATGATCCACAAGCGTCAGTCACCGGTGATCGATTTGGGTAGGTGTGGTAACGAAAGAGTTAAGAACCATTTTTCACTCATCATCTCATGACATAGAAAAAAAAGGGGCAGCTTGCACTCAATTGTGCAAGGCTGAGTCACGACAGATCTGGGGGCACTTAGCTGGTCCAGACTTGGCTAAACTTTTACCCGCTCACCTCTCTCTCTTTCCCACCCACAAAATAGAATTTCCCACCCACAAAAAAAACAGCCAAAATAGAATTTAGAGCAATTTTAGGAGCAGCAAAATTTAGTTTTTGAAGCTCTAGAATGCAAGTTTGGAGCAGATTCAGGGAAAAAAAGGGCCATTTTTTATCACGAAAGACCGAATTTGGAGCAGTCTAAAAGAAAAGGCTAGCATTCAGAAAAAAAGATATGTACAAACCATTCAACATCACATGAATCGTACAGAATAGACATATGCCACGCTATATCAATAAAAGTAATATTTTGAACCACCCCCTTGAGCAAACAATGATAAATTCCACATTCCATGTAGTCACGTAGTGTATACACACATGAGTAATTGAACAAAATCAGCTGTGTTCTGTGACTAGTGATAAGAGCCCCTTCTAAATCATAATGCGCTTTTTGCAGGGCCCTGGTGGAGTGCGGCAAAGGTGGCTTAACCAGCGTTTTGCATGGGGTAGAGCAAGGCGAAGAAATTTATGAACACCGCTACGCCCACACCCCCTCCTTCTCCTTGACACATTTTTTCTTTTTTTTCACGATGGGGTTAGATTTAGGCCACAACTTCTCAGCTCACTTGCAAGATGCGTTCTACCAGATAAAGTAACGGCACGCGTCCTTTGATCCAGCAACAACACCGGTTATTTATCGCCCAAACTGCGCAACTAATATAAAGACAGAAAAAAAAAATGTTTTGTGTGCCTTTGCTATGGCAACCAACGTGGTCGGCGTCAACGCCGTCATTTGCAGCACGTCGACTCTGTTCGCGCGTGAAAAACACGGTATGTGCTTCCAGCTCTAGGTGCCACATGTCATAGCCACGCTAGATGACTAGGAAGTTCATATTTACCACGAAGAGTTGGTGGCTACGACAATGGATATTTGTCTAGAAGTTGCATCATCTCACCGATAGGTATCCGCTGCTGTTAGCGGACCAATGGGCACGCGGCTTTGTTACTTTAGCTGGTCGATCGTGTCTGTCGAGTGCCTTGACCTATTGGGAATATATGACATTGTGGTTTAGGGTTAGGGTCTGCGCGCTTGCATTGATTGATGACGCAAAACTGCAGATGACCAACTTGGCCTTTACGTCTTGCTGAAATTAGTGCAATTGAGAAAATTTAGAGACTGGTCGAGCATTTTGGTGCTGCGTGGCATAATTTTAGCAAATTTCATGGTTTTGGTGCAGAAATGGGGATTTGTATCAAGTTGGCGCAAGTGGCGCAGCTGTTGCACACCCCTGCACCCATTGCTATGCTCTACGACACACGGCTATGCTTGCTCTTGTTTTCTATCTTTTTTTTGTGTGTCCGTGTGCTTATTTCTCTCTTATGTCTACTTCTTTTTGAGTATATATATCATTTTCTCTTTTTTCTTTCCTTTCTATCTATTTCTCTTTCTTACTCTGTACTATATTATACAAGCCTGCTAGCTTTCCTGGATATCCTAGAAGTTACATAGCTCGCTTTCGGATCATGCGTATATAGGTTTTAATCTCGCCTTGCGAAAAAAATATTTTGCCAACAATTCCTTTCTTTTTTTTTCCTTCTCTTTCTTTCTTTCTTTCTTTCTTTCTTTCCTTCTCTCTCTCTCTTCACTTATTCTCTCACAGCCCAGAGTAAGTGCATCCTGTGTTGAACAAAACAGTCCACGTGTTCCGCGAGTGAAGCAGATAAGGACAAAGATCAAGAAGATGAAGCTAAGATGAAGAATAAGGCTTAGAGAGTGTGTGCCAGTTCATGATGATGATAAGAATTTTCTATCTACAACACACAGCAAACCTCTAGCATAACAGCTCTGCTGTAAATGAGATGGTAGAACGGAATCACTAGTGTTCAAATGTTTTTTCACATTACTATTATAAAAAGCTCATGAAGGCACCATCAAACGATAAAAAAATTGCACTCTGAAGGCAAGGCCTAATACAACACAATTAGCTAATAATCAGAAAGTGACTTATCACACAATACTCTCAAAATAGCAGCACTGGACGAAGAAAAAAAGCATGCAGAAGTGTGACAAACACCTCATCTGATGTGGCGAGGCAAAAAAAAAATCCATGTTCACAAATTTCTCTCAGAACCATGCTAAATACTAAATTACATTGGCTTAACATGTATAAGTACTGACAGGAAATTTTAAACATCTTTTAAATGCCAATTGAATTTAGAAAACATAAAAATTTATGAATTTGTATGATCAGATCAGTTTTTAAATAACCATTGTGCTACTTTAATTAAGACATTATGTATGAGAACATGAGCAGCAAACACTTGACACAAGCTTTTTCACCATTATGTTATGTGGACTCGTAGTTGGGGGCAATAACAGTGTTACACATGAATACAATATTATAGAGCAATTTTTACTGTAATACAAGACATTCGCAAGAAGAAAAGAGACAGGATAGGTACCAATGTTCTTGTGAATGCCTTTTTTTGCACTCAAAAGCTTCCAAACAGCTGTGCACCATCTTGCTGAATTTCAAGTTTTGTTAAGAATATAATATTGCTTTTTACTTTTGTAATGACCCACCCAACCCAAATTCCGTATTCTTAAAAAAACATAAATTCCATAGAAGTTTTACCTTTGCCCTTAGCACTTTAACATGACAAGGATTACATCTGCATAATATACAAGCAAGAAAGCTTGTATGTATGCAAACATACAGACGCCTATATTCAAGTGAGCCCATAGCATGAGTATTTATGAATAGCAGAGAAAAGCAATCTTTATGTCATGTCCGTCATTACGAATGCATGAAGCAATTTTTTTCATAATAATACAGTCAATCCATATAAAATGAGTTGGGTTGAAATTCTGAATATCCACAGGCAAGTAATATAAAGACATCAGAAAGACAGTTAAAAAAAAGATATAAAAAGAATACTGTCAAACCTGCACACATAAACATTGCAACACACAACACAAGGTACTAACGTACTGCTTTCACCTGAAATCCCACAGTCATAATACAGTATCATCTAACACACAATAATGGCAAGAAGGCTGACTGAACTTCAAGCTGAAAATAAAGATGGAACACTAACAACCATTCAGAATGATACACTAAACAGCAACTACATTTCTTCAGTGCTGCAAAAGAGTGCATGCTAGAGCGCAAAGACAGAGTCCCAATGACGCACACACCCTCAAGAGCATAAGGCGTAGTCACTGCAAGGGGTTTCTGGGTGTCAAACTGGACATCAGCAAGCTCCTTGAGGCACAGCCACTCCCCGTCAACAGAGACTCGAAAGTTGCAGAGGTAAATGGTGTCCTTGGCCATTGGCCGGCTGAGGAGGCATGTCAAGGATCTTAACTGCCCGTGCCAAATGAAACAGATGGGGTGTGGCAGAAAGAGATTGAATACGAGCTGACTAATATTCCTTCTAATTTCCGTTTGCTAGGTCTGACCATACAATAATACAATACTTAATACCACCAAGTGTTCTACAAGCCAGAATGATCTGATAAGCTAAAATTATTGCCCCAAAAGATTTACATTCAGTTCATTCACAATGGCTCTTTTGAGAAGATCAATAATACCTTGAAAGTGCTTTTGCATGCTTCTACACTTATAATGGGACATGACAGCATTGCCTATAAACAGCACTGCACGAACTAGCTTGACTGCATCTCTACTCACTAAGTATATTACAGCACAAAGAGAAACACTAAATAATGTTCAATTGACAAAGTAGTCTTTAAAAATTAAATCTTAACTATTTCATGATAACAGATTCAGGAAAGACAATTTTTTTTCTATATTTTTGAACCAGGACCCCAGCACTAGTACACAACTACGATGTCATAAATTTCACTGTATATTAAAGCATATGAGTCATTATGTTGTAGCAGTTCTGAGAAGTTGAAAAGCGACTCCTTCAGAATACAATTTAGTACACCTCCACCAATTAACAGTGATGACCAAGCAGATGTCACCAACATCTACAATGTCATGCTGAGCTCTTGCCAAATTGTCAAAGTTGCATTACTATTTGTCTTTTTTTCTGTATCTTTTTCAAGTTACCATGTCTCTTATATTGATTACAGTAACATTTTTCACTATTATAGCATCACAAACATTATCAGCCTATTTTTATATCAACTGTAGCACAAATGGCTCTTTCTATGATCATCAATTCATCCTGTATTTTTCAAGCCAATTCTATTTTGGAAATGAATTTCTCTAATATGATCACTTCTGTCTCTAATTTGATCACCCCACCAAACTTACTGCCTTCCACTTCTGAATTTCCCATCTATAGGTACCCGTTCCATGGCTTTAAATAATCACAAGTTATCAGTCCTGCATATTGCACGGCCTGCCTAGCTCCATTTTTTGTTTCTCAGCGACACACTAGACCATGAGCTACTCCTGTTTATACTTTGATCCATTCTGCAGTCTTCCTATCTTATGATCTTACATTTATCACTTTCCATTGTATTACGTACTGTGTGGTTCTAAGCTTCATAGTTTATTTGTTATTCTCAAGGTTTCTGCCTCGTTTGTAAGTAAAGATAATATGCAATGGCTGTAATATTTTTAATTTAAGGACACTGGTACAGTGCCTGTCAAGGTTTGGGATTGTGTGCTATATGCACTCCAGTCAACCCTTACTTTTCGCTGACGTTCCTTTTCATGAGTAGGTTTTCTGTCAGTATTTGGCCTAAATAAACATGCCAGTATTATCCAGTCTGATTGGTGGAATGCATATAAGCATGCAGTAAACAACAATGTAAGGATTGCATCACCTTGCTTATCGCTTTCTCGATGACAAGCAAAAAACAGTTCTATGAGGATGTAGATTTAGCAATGCGAAGCATGTGAACCAGCACATGACCGTCATAGAGACTTTACTGGGAAAGTAAAAAGAATACAGGAAGGAGAATAGGCAATTGCAGAGGAAAGATTCTGTTGAAGCATAACTACTGATATAGCTTGACATACTTTTTTATTTAATGTTTTCATAAATGACAAAGCAAAATCGTGAAGTAAAATATGTGGTACATGAGCCCAACTGAGCGAAATATTATGGACAAAGCTTGTGAAAACTGAAGTTAACTTGCACAAAAATTAACTACTGATTCCAAATATTTACAGTATCAGGTGTTACTCTTAACATAATGATCTTTTGCCATCTACAGTGCCATCTTTTTTGAATTCTTACATCTTGACCCAAAATTGATTGCTTTGTATTTTCCTTAAGAAGTACAGCTTAAAAAGACTTTTTAAGTTTCTTGAGCAAAAGAAACTAAAATTAGTTATCATATAATTACCAAAATTATCCAAAATATGTCCATAACACCAAGAGTCATAAACTGCCAATCTAACCACACAAAATAATAATGGCTTGGCAGCACTAAAGCTGCTTATTTCAGCTCTACAACTAACTATGATCTTTATGCTGTAAGCATTATTAAGTATAGCAGAGCACAAATACTAAAAATCGTGTCACTTCAAGAGGCTGCATTCTATTTCAAATAACATCAACATTTCTTTCATTGTACAGATTGATGTTAAAGTAAGAAGCATGAAAATTTTCATTGAAAAATAATGATTTGCTCAAAGTCACTAGCTTTTGCACAACAACAAGCAACTGAAATTGAATTTCAAGGAAAAAAAACGAATTGAATTTCTCAACAAGTCGTCATAAGTTTGAGGGCAGTTATGAAAAATATTGTAAGTTTTGAACAGATCTGCATATAGATGTAATCATTTCTGTCCCACAATTCTGAATATCTGTGCATTCTTAGAATGTCAAAAATAAAAATTCACTTTTCAGAAGAAAAAGAAGAACATTTGATAGAGTGGCACCGTACCTTAACAACACAGATACACAAATTAACATGGAAAAAGTGCTCAAAAATTAATTTAAGATTTCACATGACCCCCTTTACAAGAACTTGTTCATGTCTAAAAATGACTTTTGGGCTTGAGAAGTATTACACACCACACCCACTGCATCAAGATATTCTGTTCCAAGAGTGTTGAATAAACTTTCATATTGCACCACTGAATAGTATATCATTCAAAATAAATTTAATATAGAAAAAATAATGTATAGTATGTAATAAATTTATAAACAGCAGATATATAGTATATAGCCATCAACACATATAGTGGCCATACAAAAAGATTAGCACAAGCAATCACTGATGGGAATCCAGTCACTTAAGCTAACCATTTTGTGTAGTGATGACTACACTGTCTAGAGAAATATGCCTACCTCATCAGCAAAAAAATTTGCACTCTGTCACAGCATTGCATATGCCAAATAAGTGCAGACATTGGCTTCACGACATCAGTTCTGGCTCGTGCCTAGGTATATTATTTGTTTATATTTAACTAAATATTACTTTTTTTTTAACATCTACGGTCTCGAGACCTTTAGTCATGGCTGTATGTGTAACCAAATTGATTAGGAGGAAAACATATTAAAAATATTTTAAATGTAGCTGCTATTTCATACAGCTTGATTACATGACAGAACCTTTGACTGGTAACTATTACAAAGAAGCAATGGCAGAAGGAATGTGAATAAATAAACAAATTTCCTTGGTTGGTGCAGAATAACACAAAATTCAGTATAAATTGACTATCCCATGGTGCTAAGACTTTGTTAAACTTTGTGGAACTTGTTCGAAAAATTCAAGAGATGACAGCTGCACTTTTGAGGTGTAAATGACTGAGGCTTGGTAGCACTAACATCAAACATACAAGTCTCTCTTGAGCCACCTGGCAAATAATTAAGGTACTTTAACCTGCATTCTTGTTTTTGTTTTCTACCCGGAGATCACATATCAATATGCCTAGCCTTAGACATTTTAGTCAAGGGATTACTTTTTGAAAAGGATGTGATACATACACATATGTCATATTTATTAAAATTTGCATATTATAACCGCTTGTAGATGAGTCATTTTTAGCAGGCAGATTTAGCATTTACATAGGCACAATGCTATGACCTCATGCAAATGACTTATGAATCGGCAGGAGCTGAGAAGCATGCACAAACATATTTAAAAGAGTTCAACATGGATGTCATGCTTACTACTGACAACAAGCCTATTCAAGTTTAAGGATATTCAATGTTAATGCGAGTGACTGGCCAACTGAACTGAAACTGCCTGTTTTTGTTTGTTTGTTTTTTCATTATACAAATCCAAGATTTTTTTTTTCAATCTTTGCTTCTTTAACAATCATTACAAATGACAGTGGACGCTTAACAAATAATCAAGTTCTACCATTCGAAAACATACACATGCAACAGAGAATATAGACATAGAAAAGGGTCATAAAAAGAAAATTTTATTTTTAGAAAACGAAAAAAAAAAAGGGGGGGCCGACGAGGAGTTCGTTGTTGGGAGACACCCTAAGCTAACAAGCTTACACGACTAGGCACATGCGTGCCGACCGATCACATCGGACAACGACGGTCGTGACATAATTAACGTTCGTGAATCAAGGAACTGCTTGTGGCGAAAACAACAATCGATACTGATAAGGGGAATTAATAATGCCGGGTAATGTGACACAACGCTGGAGCAAAGCAGCAACTGCGGGCTACTATCGACTTTCCTACCTGCCATTTTGAATTTCCAACAACCGTGCAGGAAGCAAGGATACGATAGCTCGGCGCTCTCGGGATGGTCTTCGCCGAGTGGGCTGCGAGTATCAGCGGCGCTTCGCGAAGTCGGCATATACGCTACGATCGCAGCCCTCGTTCACGGAGCGTACGGGTGAGCGGCCGCTCTCAGAACTACCAACATGGCCCCTCCTTTCTGACACAGCACGGAAACCTCCGACGACGAAAAAGCAGACAGTCTAAAACGGGAGTGAAGGGAGGAAACGGGAGAAGACATCGATCGGGTCGCGCCGCTACGTAGGCGCCGCGAGTCTGCGCGCCAAACAGCTGAGCGACCATCATGTCGGTGAAGCGCGATTACGAGCACCGCCACACCGCACGCGTCTCGCTTTTGCAGTCATTCACTACCAACAGATTGCTCACAGCTGTAAACAAAACAATAGCGAACATGGCTGCCTCTAGTTAAGCCACGCGCACTACATGTGCCATATCGACAACGGGGCAACGTCCGTCTGATAAACAACGATCCCAACGCAAACAAGATCACAACATTACTACCAGCGCTAAAATACCCGAGAATTTACAGTGATTAACGAGGAAAAATAAAACAGCTTCAACAGCACACTCCTACGAGAGGAGATTAAATCATGACAGCGCTAATGGCATCTGTACAGCAAACAGGTGCATGCCGCACTTGAACGACGTAAGACAGTGCATCAACACTTTTCCTAACACGGAAATCACTTGTGACAACCAATCAAGCATTTGCACATCAATATCTGAAATATGACACAGTTAACGAGCAGATTGCTGGCAAGATCAGGTATGAGTCATCGCCATTGATAAACGTTAGGTCACACGAGACGCTTGCGCAAACTTGGTTTTTTCATAGGTTCACACGCGTGTCATAAGAACACTAAACACAAACACACAAGAACACCGGTCCGTGACATCACGCCACCATTACAAGCCTTTCGTGACACAAAATACGACATATATAGCGGCAAAACATTGTAACCCAACGAAATTGTTTCGCTGAATTATCTAAATTCAGTAACATGTAGCCTCAAACAAGTCAGTGAACACACGATAAGTACAGTCAAAAGAAACGATGCAAACGCAGGTGATCACAACATGCTATATATATATATATATATATATATATATATATATATATATATATATATATATATATATATATATATATATATATATATATAAGCGTGAAATTTTGGAAAACGGGTTTCAAAAGAAGGGGCAACTTTCCGAACAAGTGATTACAAGCACAGCTTGCGTCATAAGTTCATTTACAGCAGAAGCAAGCACAGGCAGTTGCATATGGTGCCCTCTCTCACAGGCTTCGATTACTTTGAAGCCTACCGCATATGATAAAGCACTGCGATCGACAGCAGCATTGAATAATAATGTAAATATACTTCGAACTTTCTCTCATATAAGCGAACGAGTATTTGAAATATGAGTGAAAGCAACAACTCCAGCACCATTCGCTATGTAAACAAATGTGCTTCGTACACAGCATGACAGCAGATCATACGCTATCTCAATGTTCAAACATCATTTCGTGCTGCAGTGGCAGTGAACCAGATCACTAAGCACATCTAGAATGACAAGAATAAACAAATGACAAAAGCGATGATGCGTATCATACTTCGCATGGTCAGCACTTGAGAGAAAACACCCACCAAATTTACACCTAGTCAGAGCCGTGGCAAATACTTGAAGCTGTATTAGCCGCGATTCATTGTGTATACACGTAATCTTAACACGAGGTAAGTGCAATAAAATTCCTGTTTCCGAACAGAAAACAACTATTCCTTACTTTTCAACCACTCAAATAACGCAAAGTTGATATTGCAGGTCCCATTCCGATACATTAGAGGACTTACTTGGTCGATAGTACTTCTCGCGGCGGCTGTAATCCGCTGACAACAAAAAAATTGGATGTCTTTCGCTAGCAAACGCTTGGCTACCGGTACTGATTACCGGCGTACTACTCGTAGATCTGTCATCTTTCAAAATGTTAGTTTTTTCACCAGTATCAACAAAGCTGGACACTGTAGAAGCCGCCATGACACTTGTGGATTGATTTGGCTCGGCTGCCTTGGCTTTGGCAGCATAAAGGCGTTTTAGAAACTAGAACCGAAACTTGTGAAAGCATGATTGAAACATTTTGCGAATTGCGCCTAGAAGGCTTAAAAAGTGAGATATTTTGTTCTGCCTAGTGAGTGCATAGCCTAAGAACAATAGAGACCTGATCGGTTGGTGGGAACCGTGGTGGCTCCCGCTTGTTGACTCCAGATACCGCAGGCGTTCCTGGAATTCGAAGGAGCCGTTATCGCCCATCTGAACACAGCCCACCGCTCCCACCTTAATGGTTAGACCAGGTTAGCCCACCCGTTGCTTTTCCAGAAGAAGAAGGGCGAAGCGCAAACAACTCCACAGGGAACCACATCCAGTTTTGTTTGCCGTTCTAGTCTTGTGCTTATTTCCAAGACATGTTTTCAACGTAGCGAGCTCTCTCCACAACCGCAACGCGTAGAGAGAAAAAGAACAAGACTTTAATCAGCTTGAAGGATCGAATTTTTCCGACAAATACCGATCCCCCGAGTTTTCTTCAGCTTTAAAAAAGCTGAACGCGCAGTCACTTTCAGTTCCTTGTGTAGGGAAGTATCCTCGTTGTAAAACAAGCTTGTGTCACGTATTTCAAACCAGAAAATGGGTGTATTTAGGTTAAAGTACATAAATGTAATTGTGTTTCTTTCTTCGACTCTGTTCCTGCAGTTTAGACGAGGAGCGCTTGCTCAAGAAAACAGCGTTGCCGAAGGAACGGTGATGGACTTCGAAGCAATCCACGAAAACATCGAACATGCCGCAAGTCAGGAGATGCCTGAAAGAGACAAGGTAAGACATCGAAATATGAGTTCATCTTGCAGCTAAGACAGGGCATAATAAATAGGTTAAATACCTTTAAAATTTTACTAACGGTTCCTTCCAAAATTGTGGACCAGAGTCCCGCCATTAACCGACTGCACGTGCCACATGCACTAGATGTCCACCTACAGGGAATGCGTGATATAACCGACCAATATTCTATTTTGCTGTCACACAATTGCAAGGAAAAATAACTCCCATGATATGTAACCACCTAGGATAGGAATTTTAAAAAGGGGGGGGGGGGGTACGGATAGGAGATGGGGTTAAGCAACGCTGTGAAGGCAGACACTTGTATTGCGCTTATCTTCATTAAAATCAATAATTATAGCGGCTCTAACAGTCAAGAAGATTGAATAAAAACGTCATGTTAGACGTGCATCTTTGCGTTGCTGCTATACAACTATACATGTCATGGCTGATTTCGGTGCAGGCAACGCCTACAATGCTGAGCATTGGCGCAGCCAAGAAGGGGGAGGAAAGTTGATGGTTCCAAGCATCACCCCTCCCTAAAAAGCTTCTCAGTTTTGAATTTGTAAATATACAGGTGCACATTACACACGAATGAACCTACATAACGGGTGGTTGAACGCACCAAACTCGCTGAAAAAGTTTCTGGCTATGACCCTAGCTCATCTTGAGGCGAAGTTTACTTTTGCTGGTAATGTGCAGCTTTCGTCTTGTATAAGCTAGACGGTTTAAAACATGAGTGAAACCGTCTAATCTTACATGAGCAATTTTCACAGGATAGACAGGCATCCCTTCAATTCTTGAAATGATTTTCTGTCACCGCACATGAAAAAAGTAGCAGAGCTACTGGGCCCCTAGCTGATCTTGGCTTGGCTAGACTTTTCACCTTCCCACCTCTTTCTTACTCAGTATGTCGACGGCGCCCACCGATATTTACAAACATGGAATAGGTCTATGCATGGCTTTGCTTGCTCTCTTTCTTTTTTCTACATTTTTGTTTGCGTCTGTCTCTTTTCAGTTTGCCTATTTGTTTCTGTCTTGATATTTTTTTCTGTCCTTTCTCCCAGTCTTCCTGTGTTTTTTTGTTGTTTCCTTTGAGAGGGCACATGCCAACTTATGCTGAGGAGAATTTTCTTTATAAGACAAATGGCAAACCTTGACCTTGATATCTCTGCTGTAAAATACTGGGAAACCACCATGGTGTTCTAGTGGCTATAGTGCTTGACTGCTCACCAGAAGGTCGCGGGATCGAATCCTGGCCTCAGCGACTGCTTTTTTGGGGAATACGAAGATGCTAGAAGTCAGTGTACTTAGATTTAGGGGCACGTCAAAAAATCCTATGTGGTCTAGAGTTTTCCACTGCAGTTTCCTTCATAACTATATAGTAGTTTCGGGACGTAAAGCCAAGTTACTATGAATATGGGAAGGAGATTTTCGATTCAGTGCGTTAATAATCTTTTTTTTATTAAAAAGGTAAAGTCCCATGAAACAAAAAAGAAGGAACATTGAAGCAACAAGTTTATTAATTTGTAGCTCTGAATGAAAAAACAAAACTTATAGCAGTTTCGCAAGATCGATCTGTGAGAGCGTCTGAAGCTGCCAAATTGAACACGTGACTTTACAGGCTGGCAGATTAAATTCTTGATATGTGGAGTTTAACGGAAGGTTTCACCATCATATGATTATGAGAGACGCCGTAGCGGAGGGCTCCGGAAATTTCGACCCCCTGGGGTTCTTTAACGCGCACCGAAATCTGAGCACACGGGCCTACAGCGTTTTCGCCTCCATCAATGCAGCCGACGCAGCCAGGATTAGATCCCGCGCCCTACAGGTCAGCAGCCGAGTACCTTAGCCACTAGACCACTGATCGTGACGGTGTGACTAACAGATTAAAGGTGTCCACAAAATAGAGATATCTTTATTTATGGTCAGTCGAGTCACGCAGTCTTAAAACTTTATAGTTTCTTTTTGAAACACTGCTATTTTTCACAATGTTTAGAAAAAGTGTAGGTGATCTAAAGGAAGCAACACATAGGCTTCATTAAGAACCATTGCTTAAGGATGCTAGAGTTAAGAAAATATATTTTTTTTTTCTGTTGACGTGTACTAAGATATCAGCCACCAAGCGAAAGATTCTTCAGTTGTTGTCGAACTTCACTACACGTTGCACAATGCATTTGCGTTGTCTCATCTGCTGCTACGGTCTCTGTAACGTACCTATACTAATATTTTCTGTCTTAAGCTCACAATCACCTCTCCGTGATTGGAGGAACTCTATTGGGTCATTCCCGCTGCGATGTGACAAGATGAGACAGAAACTACAAAAACGCCAGGTATAACAATGATATGCACAAGACTGATTATAGCGTACATTAGCACGGCCCATACACGAAAGAAACACGACACACATATGTAGAGGCAGGTAGGCACTCCAAGTGTGTGTCCTGTTTCGTTCTACTACGTTACACGCTAATGTACGCTATGATTACGAATGACCAACTCGCCCGAGCAACAACCCTTACGTAAAGGCTGCCCATGCTCACTATTTTGTGGAAGTTGGAAGTAAATGGGTCATACCCAACGGCGATATTGAACCTTTGTCAGCATTATACAATACACACACACACACACACACACACACACACACACACACACACACACACACACACACACACACACATATATATATATATATATCAAGCGAGTGTCTTCTGTGAATCCAGTGGTAAATAGAAATTGGCTTGAGCGGACAAACGTACGAAAACATTTATTAATCCTACGTTTCGACCGGACCCCGGCCGAAATGTAGGAGTAATAAAAGTTTTCGTACGTTTGTCCACCCAAGGCAATTTCTCTCTTTCTCTCTCTCTCTCTCTCTATATATATATATATATATATATGTGTGTGTGTGTGTGTGTGTGTGTGTGTGTGTGTGTGTGTGTGTATGCGTGTATTTATTAAAATTCTCTGTGCCATTTGCGGTGTTACAGAGAGGAGTGGTGTTACAAGTTATAAATGGCAGCATCAGGGTTGCTGGCCATGGAGGCAGGAAGGTGGGAAGGTGGTTTCATTCAGAGAGGGGCCCAGACAGAAATTTTTTTTCGGGAGGGTGGGGAGGGGCGCCTTTTTAAAGCGGCTATTTTTCGCTATGTATCCACGGTAAAATCAAATTCCAGGGGGGCGGGGAAGCACATGCCTACTGTGCCACCCCCTGGCTGCGCCATGTTGGTATTGCAAAATGGCAGATGAACTTTGAAGTTATGGTCTATGCGAGATTGAATGTAAGAAAGTGGAGAGAACAATGTGCATTATACTTCAGCATTTAAAAAAAAAAAAGGTTATGTGGAAGAAGCGTAGGCGGGCCTTTCTCTTGTGAGAAAGGGTGGAGAGAAATTTTTATTGATGAGATACAGCAGTATGGGAGCAATTGGCAACAATGAAAATAGCTCAGCACTTTTGGATGGCTTCTAGTGCATTAACAAATATACAAGAATGAGAATCCTGCGGATCGAAGATGGGTACTCGCGTTAAGACTGGCCTATAGTGTTTTATAAATAACTTTTAATGCAGCAAGCGCTAATGCAAAGTTACGACGCAAGAAGCAGAGAGTGCGGTCGCATTGTTAATCAGATACTATTCCATGTTAAATTGTTATCTATGTGAACACCTTGATATTTGTAAAGATGACAACTGAAAATTAGTAATTGAATAAACAGGGCTTGTGCAGTCAGTACTTCCTCGAGATATTCTCGTCACTCAAAACCATGCCATCGGCAGAACCAGCCTACTTCAGATATGCAAATTATGTGACAAAACGCAATTGACCCTCATCTATGAATATTTGTAAAAAAGTCGCTTAATAAACCAACAGATGTGCTATAATGCGTGTGAAACAGCCTGCTTCCTGTCGGCACAGGTCTGCTACAACGTCGTGGGTTGCTTCGACATGAGAGGACTGCTGGCGCACATCCGACTGCTGCCCAAGTCTCCTGCCGAACTCGCTACCCGGTTTCGGCTGCATTCTCGCAGCGGCACAGACATTCTCGACATCTACGCCGCCGGCGGAATGTCCTTGTCCAGGGCCTATCGTCCTGGCGCGCCGCTTAAGATCCTGACACATGGTTTGGGCGGCAACGGCAACCTTACCTACCTGAACCAGATGAAGGACGCCTTTCTGAGGCTGGTGAGGCAAACGCAATGTGCGCCTCCAATGTCCGCACCTCTTTCTGGTATTTATTATTAGAGAATAAAGTGCTCTGACGGCTAAATGCGCGTGTGCAGATATACGTATGAACAAACAATATTGCTGTTTAATCTCGGCATGTTCAGTGGCGTACCAACTCTTCCGCGAGGGGGGGGGGGCAGACCTAGCTCACTCATCATCCGTGATGTATGTATGTATGTATGTATGTACGTATGTATGTATGTATGTATGTATGTATGCATGCATGTATGTATGTATGTATGTATGTATGTATGTAGGCATGCATGTATGTATGTATGTATGCATGCATGTATGTATGTATGTATGTATGTATGTATGTATGTATGTATGTATGTATGTATGTATGTATGTATGTATGTATGTATGTATGTATGTATGTATGTATGTATGTATGTATGTATGTATGTATGTATGTATGTATGTATGTATGTATGTATGTATGTATGTATGTATGTATGTGTGTGTATGTATGTCTGTCATGAGAGAGAGAGAACTTTATCGACGCAATTGCACTTTGTTGTGATTTTCATACACGCAGCGCTTCTTCCAAAGCGTGAAAAAGGGACATGTAGTTAGTTTTGAGCAGCATGCGCTGAGACAACATATGTGTACTTGTGAGTCTTTTGTCATGCATATAATAGATTACATGAGACATTTTTTATGCATTGCCACGCAACTTTCCGCATGAATACAATCATGTTAACGGCAGCCTCCCCAACAGTATATATTTATTTGCATCATTGAATTTTAATGACTGAAAGCAGCTCACAAAGAAATGGAGTTTTAAATGTAGGGCCATCCCTAGAGAACCAAAGATGTTTTGAGCGTTTATATCTACTTATCTACATATCTGTTTAGCTACGTCTCGGTACTCTCGTATTTGCCTCATGACTTAGTAGAGACCAAAATCGGCGGTGGGGGGGGAGGGGGGTGCACGAAGGTATGAGAACATGTGTATGTTGCCGCATAACGTGAAAATCGTGTGTACGTCATGAAATTCTTTCTCTCAGTCATGTGCCCCATGCCCGTATACCACGGGCGACGGTAAGCTGGTATGCGTCTTAAAGCTTGTATCTACCTAGGAGCAGCGACAACACATGTCGGAAATATAAACACGAGAAGCTTTCAAAAATCTGGCATTGGCAGCGTCGATACAATGAGTGCAAAGAATGAAAATTAGGATCCCAGAAGGAATCGAAATCCAGCATTTCGTGTGGCAGTCAAGTATTATACCACAGATCCACGCACGGTATTGAATCTGCTTTGGTAAATGTACCGTGCAGACACCAAGTCGGTGCTAAGTGATTATGGCTACTATTCTAGCTATCTAAGTTTTTAACAAGGATATAAACATTTTATATGTACTCCTGCAATACAGATGCACGTAAAGTCCGGTTAACATCAGTTGTTGCTGCAGTATCACACCACAAGGAGCCTTCAAAGACAATCGCCACAGCAGAAATTTCGGAAACTTTTTTTTTATACTAAAACATTCCCTGGTAACTTTTTCATTTCCTCGTAACAATATAATTGAGTGATTATTGTGGTGAAGAAAAACTTCACCTTAGTTGTTGGTTTTCCCAGCGTGCAGCCGATAGTGACCACTGTAAAGAAAAAAGGGGGGGGGGGCTCAGCCCCCTCCCCAACTTTTTTCAGTGGAAGGGCTCGCGCTTCCCTTGCCCCCCTCCCCCCCCCCCCCGGCTGATACGTCTATGGGCATGTGGTGGTTTGCCATGTTGTCATAGCGATGAAACAGAAGCGGGCGTATAAGTCGGAGAGCTATACACAAACTGAATTGACAGTTTCTTAAAAGCTTCCTGGAACATCCATATGACTGTACCGAAACGCTGTAACAAACATGCCTACATTCAGTTTAAAAGAACTTTTAGATGTCAAAAAGCACGAAGCTTAGAAACGTGCCATCAGTGCATTAAATGTAACTACTTTTTTAGTACTTTGATCACCCATTAGTGGCAGTTTAATTGTGCAGTGTTGATCATTCGCTGATGAGAGATAACTATGATAACTAAGCTGGATGTAGCATTTACACTAGGGCATGCGAAAAATCTGGCTCGCATAAAACCCACAAAATCGCACAGATAAGTGTAGCATTAAACTGACGTATATACTATAGTGGAAATATTATGGCTCGAGGACACGTCTTTACAGAGCACTCATCCACAGGTCCCGGTTTTGCAGATCTGTTGTCATTGTTCTCCTTTGTTGGCATCTTAATCATTTTACCACTATACATCAAAATGAGTGAATCCCTCATTTTTCCTGATTTCTTTCGTTCACGTCTTCCCTCCGCTGACCATGCGCTTATTTGCAGCTTGCAAATGCTTTCAAGTGCATTGTCCCGCGTAATTTGATGCTTTACATTTTCACAAAGACTGCCAGCAATTTCACTGAGCAAAGTAATAAAAACGAAATGGTGTTTTTTTTTTTTTGCAAATGCGGCATGTGGCCACCGAACCAGGATTCAATCCTGTGACCTTCAAGCCACAAGTCAAGCACCATGACCACCAGATCACTGTGGTGCGTCTGAAGGAAGCGTTTGTACTAGTATCTATGAAGCAAATTTTTCATCGCTCCTAGGGCGCAGCCATGTTTTGTCGGCGATAGCTGGTCAGGCGGAACGAACAACGTTGACATTACATGCTTTCCACTAGCGGTAGCTCGCGATCAGCTATAAGTAACCGAACCCACAGTGTCTGTGCTGATTGAGTCGACAGGCGATAGGCTGGTATAAAACCTATGTAGGATTGCTAGCAAACGCGGATGTAATCATAAAAGATCCTAAAAAAACCACTACTCATTACTTTTTATGGTTCCTTTGATGATAGATTCATGCGTTGTCCTAGCCTTTACGAAAAGTCAGTTTTCTGCACAAATAAATAAATAACTAAATAAATAAATAAAATAATAACTTTTTCATGCGTTTTACACACCAAGAGTTGTCTTTTAGTTAGAAAAATGTACGTGACTCATTGTACATGTAACCCAACATCTGGTGATCAAAATTAAGCTGACCTTTATCTAAGGCTCTTCACCAAGCCCTGCTGCGAATTTTCAATGCACATGGGGAGCTCAAGGTACCGTCTATAGAAAGATTTTTACCGAAGTATATATATGTATTTTTTCGAGTTGAAAATACAGGCACAAAGAAATGAAGCCGCAAGCCGCAAAGTAACACACTATAGGCAGTCATGCAATTTTCACAATAGTGGCCTAGCTTCCTTGTAGGAAAAGGTACTCCGATAGCATGAATACAATCGTTGCCGAAGCATTAAATTTTGATATTTTACGCGCTAAAACCACCATATGATTAGAGGCCTGCCAGGGAGGGGGGATGCTGAATTAAATTTGACTACCTAATGTTCTTCAGTGTGTGCCTGAATGAACGGGAGTGTTTCTTCGTTTCACCCTAATGTAAAAGGCGGTCGCTGTGAAAGGCAATTGAACCCGCGTCCTTGAGCTTAGCAGCACCTCATCTTATAGTCTTTTTACGCTAGCGCCGTGGATGAACCTGTGCATTTTAAATGCACCGGTTACTGTCAAGACGGTTCTATACACTTGCGAAAAGAGTGTACTATATAACTAGGATGCTCCATAAGTGCTTTGCGTGCACCGCGCTGCGCGCAGGAAGACGGAAACGTGGTCGTGGTGGACTGGGCGCGGGGCGCCTCGCTGCGGGACTACGCGCAGGCGTGCGCCAACTCGGAGCTGGTGGGCCGCGAGGTTGCCTTTCTGGTGTCCTCCCTGACACACAACGGCCTCGTGCTGCCCTGGAACGTGCACCTGATCGGCTTCAGCCTCGGCGCCCAGCTGATGGGCTTTGCTGCCAGGAGGCTGGCTCGCACCTACGGACTGAAGGCCGGCAGACTCACTGGTACACAACACCGCGGCGCTAAGCTACAGAAGGCTGTAGTGTAGAACTTGAGGGAACGTCGGAGGACTCATAGTGTACAGCTTGGAGACAAATTATAAACAATAGAACGTCACATTATGCACAATAGGACGTAATCTATCAGATCTTGTGGACAAAAAGTCTGAAAACCAGAGTGCTTCAGAAGCACTTCACTGGTCAAATGAAGCACTTTGTTCCCTAAAGTAACGTGAGAGTTTTGCCACTAAATTCAGTTACAAGGTTACATTCAGTTACAAGTCCCATCTTCGAGCATTTTCTTAACCGTTTTTCTCGAGGAGAAATACGAAATATGTGCGTTATAAATGACTTTCCGACATTCCTAACATGTGGTTTTACATCATTTTCTGCATCCACGTTGACGAGAGGACCGTAAACACCCAGTTGCACGAACGTCGGTTTAACAAATGTTTCATAATATCGAACATTTAGTAAATCTCCCACGGCTTTTCTATGCATTAGATGAAGACATCTTTTTGTTGAGCGAATTTCTGATTAGCGAATATTTTAGTGGAACGACATACTTGGTGTGTGAATATTTTTGATGAACGAACTACTTAATGAGTGGGTTTGGGCGAAAAGATGCGGAGATTCTTTTTAGCTTTCGTCCTGAACAAAATGAGTGTGATGAGGAGGCAGGAATGGTAATGGCAGATTCAAATATGTAACTCTAGTCGAAGCTGCATACGCCTTTGTAAGTACGTAAAAAAACATAGTTGATCCCTCCATTATAGGAATCGGTAAGACACGAAAGTAAAACGTGTCTATGCAGAAGTACTTTAATGTGTAGTACGGTTCACTGTTACAGAGAACACTCGAATGAACACCGTCAATATTGCTGACAATCTAATAGCAAGTGGATAAAGAAACTATTAATGTTTATTCACGTCCCTAGTCGGCCAACAGGAATCAGAAATTCCAACCAAAAATAGTGTTACCCGTGCGCAAACTCGGAGCTGGTGGGCAACGAGGTTGCCTTTCTGGTGTCCTCCCTGACACACAACGGCCTCGAGCTGCCCTGGAACGTGCACCTGATCGGCTTCAGCCTCGGCGCTCAGCTTAGGCTGAAGTCGGTGGTTCTGTAAGATTGCGAAATTTGAACATGTTGTGCACAAATGTGTTCTTTTTAACAGTGGACCCGTCTGTACAATGGCATAAGAGACTTTGCACTATGCCCAGTGGTGTTTGACAGCTACAGCACCGCTTAACGTGGATGAATCCACGTGGACTTTCAGTCATGCATCGACATCTCGACGACTAACGTCCATCATTATTGATTCACAAACCCTTGAGGTCATAGATGCTTGTGGTAGTTGTTGTAGCAAATGGTGAGAGCGGGACAAAAGAAAGTGATGTGACAGCCAGAAAAGCATGTCTGATCAGAAGCCAAACTTGGGCTAAGGTCTCCTTTTCGCGATATGTCGAAGTTGTACATGGGTTTCACGGGTCGTCAAGCAAAGTGAGGGACCGCCATGTTTGTCAACATTGAGTCAAGCTCATTTGAGTGATATGGCGAACAAAAACTGCGCGATTTTTGTCCGTCGTACTTCAAAGAGCTTGTGGGACCGACTCGTATACGTTACCGAGCGTAAATTGAAATGGGCGGTGGCATCGACCCGTGAAAACTGCGCATTGCCGAACGTCGATCTGCTGCCTTCCGTGACACACACGGTGACATCGTGAACTATTTGGTGCTTTCGACAAGTCCTGTCAAATGAAGGTCTACAATAGCAGCTGGACGACTACAACTATACCTAACCAGCGCATGGGTGAAGATCACAGCAGCAAAGCAGCTTCTATCACAGCATGTCGTCGTTCTAAGCGGGGTTAGTGACGATGCTCTTTCATGTTACGGTCGAAGTAAATGTTCGTCTTTCTGAAGATGCGTGGACTTGGAAGGATCTACTGCTGATGATTAATTTCGCTCTGGTTCTGCGTCTAAGGCAGTTCGAGCTGATTCGAGCTATGTTCCGGACTTAGTTGATGGCATGCCCGCTGCGACTGCATCCAGCGTGTTCGTCTGTCGCTTTTTAGAGCGGTGAAAACGCGCACATGCTGCGGCAGTAGTTCGTCCATAACGGCCGTGGCCCAGCAGGCTCGATGCCCTGTCGGAGTTCACGTCGTCTATCAAATTCGCGGGTTGTCCTAGGAAAGAAGACACGTTCACATATGTTGCGCCGTCAGACCTATGATAACACGAAACATGGTTAATTGGGGGCGAAAGGTCCTCTGTACATCGCTGAGAATTTTGGTTGCATTCTGGAGAAGCTAAGTGATCACTTCAGTAAGCGTGGTAAGCCCGGCCATAAGTCAAAATTACCCTGTGACGACTGGAAACACGGATGTATTTCTTCGGGTTTTCTTGGTTAGTGCGCGCAAGCCAACCAATACTACACTTACCTGATGCATCCTTGTTCACGCGCACTGATTTCAGTAATCGCAAGAAAACTAAACATTCTAACGCATGACTGTGCCTTGCTTTTAGAAGCAGAAGTTTACTTCTTCTTCTGCATTCAAAAATGGCACAAATAGTCATGGTGAAGCTGGATGCACGACCAAAAACCAGATCTCGCCACTGTAAAGCTACCCAATGCGCTTCCAGGCAGATGCATACGTCGAAAAACAGGGCAGGTGGTTCTTGGTCCTTTCGAACCCAGGTATTGAACGCAACTATCCGATTAGAGGGAAACGCAACGCGCGTTGTGTGTTCCCTTTGACCGGCCGCGATTATTCGCCAGGCGAGCGTAAGTGGGTAACGCGGAGCTGCATTCAGGCGAAACGGGCACGTTCCAAAGTTGCAGAGCTATGCTTGGTATGGATGGATTGTATGAGTGATGCCGACGCTTGTGGTAAGGTTGCCACCTAGGGGTGTGTCAAGGCGTTCAAATAACTGCACTTCTGCTACAGGAAACGCGCTAACTGGGATGAACGCTAAGAAAAAAAAGTCATAGTTGCGACGCAAGGGCAAAGCTATGAATGTGATAGTAAAATATTGGAAGGTAACAACTGATAGCCGTTCTGTGAGAATGGCTATCAGATCGAAACGTGACGCGCTGCTAACGAACAAACGACGCACGAAAACAACCCACACAGAATGACAACTAACTGACAACATTTACAGCTGTTTAAACCACCTAACGCGCTGCTTAAACAAAAATGACGCACAAAACGTTATCACGGGTACAGATATGAGTGCGAAATAACGAGTGTCCCAGTTGTTACTTCACTGTGTTTGAATAGTGCACTCTTTTTGCAAACGGGGCCTGCCCACCGAGTGAAGTGACCTTTGCAGCCCAGGCAGCTAACGCAATCGTTCCGGTGAAAGGCCAAGCCACACGATTCTCCCCACGGAAAGATAAGCGCGAGTGCACAAGCATTTAACACCCCCCCCCCCCCCTTCAATTCGCGGGACAAAGTAGGGGCAAAGTACGCGTGGGAGATGAGCGCATCGCCACGAGCTGGGTGCAGAGTGTGGGTGGCTTCTTTTCTTTCTTGAGTTTTCATATATACAGATACGTATGCTTATAAGGTGCATTATGGCGGCGGTGGCGGCGACGGCAAAAACCAGCTGAGACTGCACATATAATTGCTATCGAAATAATGATGCGTTGAAGGAACTAATTGCGCATGCCATGGTCATGGTGCATTTCTGCACTTTACCAAGAACACTCTGAGAGGAGAGTGGTAGATATCAAAGGCGTTTCTTTCGTACGCCTACAGCGATGTGGTCGTGGCGCATGAATACCTTGCCCGGAATCTGTCGTCACGGACCCAAAGGTCATAGGTTCGACTCCCATCGAGGGAGCTTTTTTTCCTTTTCTGATCGTGTGTATTTTTTGACGTCATTTCCGGATCTAAATACGTCACCACTGTCTTAGTGGACCCCGGCATAAAACGCTCTCATGTTAAAGAAAAAAAAAAAAAACCTGGAACGCTTTGTCACTTCTTCCACTCGAAAGTGAAAAAGAAAATTGCACATTCTCAATTCGTTCCTTCCTCAAAAGGAGATAGGTGGCATTGTACGTATTTAGCACACCGTATTATTGATGTACGGAACACCATAAATTGCATTTCACGTTCATGACTCAATGGCCACCATGTCTTATGCTGTTTTCTATTCTAGTGAATATTGACTTCAATGAACTTTCGGTTATGTGAATTATTTCCCCTTGATGTTGACTCATCTGAGAGTTCACTGCATCTGCTGGAATAATTTGTAGTGATGTTACTTAACTTTTGTAAACCTAACTTTGGCTCATTATAGGTCGAGAAACCTTTCCGTGCACAAAACACGGAAATGTTTCTTACGTCTTTTGACTGGGTATGGTCTTCCGAGAATTGATAAAAAGAACGACCTGTCTCCCACTTCATTATTATAGGATGCATCAAAATGTAATGGTTACATTAATGACAGTGATATATGGAGCGGTGCTTTTAGTGCTTATCAACAATAGTACTGGGTGGTACGGTATACACTTCGCGTCCGCGACAGACGAAGACTCAGAGAAGCTCCGACCACGTGGCTGGGACATCAGCTCAGTCATCCGACAGAATGAATGTTTGTTTTGAGCCTTCTGTTCCCGCAAATTGGTTAAGCGGACGTGATTTTGTCGGGTAAGTGGGCTGATGTTACAGCCATGATGTCCGAGGTTCTCCAAGTGTTTGTCTTTCACGCAAGCGATGCGTACTGTACACTACAGTACTATTGCCAATAGCTATGCAAATTATGCTTTGGTGCTTTTTTTGTCTTCTTTCTACAGTGTAATGCTCTTACGTTGTTGTTTAATCCACCTCGCAGCATTGGACTGCGCCGCGCCTTTGTTCGAGTTTCGCGGGCTTCATCCCCGCAAACAGGACGTGCTGTACCTGGATGCTGTGCACACGAGCGCCGGCACAAACTTGCTCATGGGCCACGTAGGGCTACGCAGACCGTTCGGCCACATAGACTTCTATCCCAATGGAGGCATGCAGCAGAAGGGCTGCGAGGACAAAGGTATACGCCCGCACGTCAATTAACTGCGAGCGCTCAGCGTGGCCAGTCATGACTGAACATTTTAAGAAAGGCTGGGCATGACAGTTTGCATACTAACTGCTGCAAATTTCGCATGAAACACAATTAGATTTTTCGTATAATTGTCATTTATTCTTCGTATACATTCTGGTGAATTTTCCCGAATTAAAAAATAATATATATATATATATATATGTATATATGGGATAGAAGTGTATACTTGCAAGCTCGTTTTTTCGTGTTTTTCACAAAATATAATTAGATTTAACAGACAATAATGCCAAGGAAAGTATAAGGGAAGTGATTAGACCAAATTTAATGTAGATGTGAAGAAAGAGAAGTGGGTGAAAAGATAATTTTGCCGTGGACAGGAACCGAACCTGCGACCTTCGAATAACGCGTTCCACGCTCTATCACTGAGCTGCCACGGCGCGTATCCCCCGCCAATTTATTGGGTATATGTGAATTTAAACCTGGGAGTGTCAGTCAGCGCCACCTGTAGCCATGGCGGCGAGTGTGGCACACTCTTCATGAGCCTGTTTGGCGTTACGTAGCACGTGAACGTATCACGAGTGGGCAGCTGACCAATAGTCCCTCGTATGCATCCTAAAGGCACCAAGTCTGCCAGTACGAGACCCTAGTTAATGGGTAAGGGAAAGAAATGTATACTTAAGTGCTTGTTTTTCAGTGTTTTGGAGACAATAATATGAGATCTAACAGACAATAATGCTAAGGAAAGATAGGGGAACTTATTAGACCAAACTGTAATGTAAATGTGAAGAAAGAAAAGTGGGTGAAAAGATAAATTGCCGATGGCAATATATCTTTTCACGAAAATTGGCGAGCGTAATTGGATGTAGAATATGCACAAATTCTTGCTGCTCGGGATTGCGATCACTGAGTATATATGCGCTCGAAGCTTATATTTAGTCTTAATCAGTAAAGTACTGTAGGCTTTTTATTGCTCCTTAAAAAGTGACACGTTTGATAAAAATTAGTTCAGCGATTCCCGATAAGAACGATTTCCCAGTTTTCATCTACGGAAATATCTCTCGAACTTAAGAGCTGCTACAATGGAACAAAGGGTGATTGCAGATCCCGTTCACCACAAGGCGTATCCCACGTGCACAGGATGATAAGGCGTAGAAGGGCGGCGTTTTTAGTTTCAGTCGCTCACGAAGCGATACAGTAACGCCTATCCACGTAAAACTTCGATCACGAACTGAGCCTTACATACGATCCGTCTTGTGAGAGAATACCCATCTGTTCCGCTGCACTGTGAAAAGCTCATCGCGATCAGCGCGTAACAAAGCATAGGAACAAAAAAGCTAATGATATAAGTGTATGGCTAACGGAAGCTTATATTAAAAATGAAAGTGATCCACTTCCAGGGTAAACATTGCTTCAGTTATGAAAACAAAAAAAACAGTATTGTAATAATAAATATTCATTTTTACACACAGCAAAAAAAGATATTGGGAAACTAGTGGACCACAAAAAATATTTTTTCCTAGTAGAACGCAAGCATGGCTTCATTCTTAAGAGAGGTGGCAAAATAGGACGGGTGCTAAAAAAAAAACGAGCTTTTTCAATGGAGTGGCGACCAGCAGATGGAGCGCGCGGTGGCTACTAACCACACGTCATTACCCTTGATTCATTCTGACCGTTAGTTCGCGCGCTATAGCCGCTAAAGTGAGCACATGGACAAGCTGTTCTTCGGATTGGTACCGAAGGGATGGTGAGAGCTGGAAGAACAACGTGTGTGGGTGAAATTGTGATACAAACTTGGAAAAAAACGTTCAAATGAACATTGCAGTTGCTTAGCCAAGCGTACAGAGAACACTGTATGAGTCGCACGCAGTGCTTCAGCGGGAGTGGTTCAAGCGTTTTAAACCCGGTAGAATGTCTGTCGGTGATGGTCTAAAGCCTAGACGACATTTCACTACTACAGATGATGACATTGTCAACTCACGAGCTCGTGCTGTGATTCGAGGACATCTTTGTTAAACTGTCCGAGAAGTTGCCGACGAAGTGGGCATTATAGTTTAGGATAATGTGATAAAATTTCTATTTATGCTGTCATGGCATAAAACAACATTGAAAGGACGGCATTTCGAAACCACAGAGCAGATCCAGGACAGTGTGAAAAGAAACCTGCGGGCCATTCGAGAAAGTGCGTTCCAAGAGGCTTTTTGAAAATTGGAAGAAACGATGAGAACAGTGTATTGCTAGTATAGGGGAGTAGTTGCAGGAAGAAAATGCTAAAAATCTATTACCACAAGTAGTAAAAATGTTATAGGAAAAGTTCGGTTTTTTAACACACCTCGAGTTTAATTCAAGAAAAAGAACCACATAACCACAAAACGAAAATTAGTATCTCGCCGCTCTACAACGTGATTTCTCACGACTTCACCTATATACATACTGAATTTGTGAGAATTGTGAAATTCTGGCATGTTCTGGCGTGTACACACATTCGTTGTAACAGACGTGCCAATATTTGAATTAAATTCGCGAGTGCAGCACTAATATATGTATACATATGGACGTGGAGGGGTGTGCATATTACTTTGAAGCTGCATGTGGGTTGCATGAGTGCTCTTATTATACCGTTTACCTGCATCTGACGTGTGCCTTTGAACTGTACATATATTGATGTCCAAAGCAGCGTATTCCGATTTGCACAAATATTGTCAATATTAGGGGCGAAGCACTTTAGGGTCTAGGCTTGTCGGTTGTCCGGCACAGCACATGCGAGGTACCCACTATATGGTCACCGTAACTTTCATAATGTAGATAAGCACTCACTACGCCACTATGCCAGTCACCATTGTGCTGATAAGCGAGGTACCCATGCACTACGCATCTGCAGCATATTATGTGCACTTCGTCCTGTGGCTGATGACGATGAAGAAAGAAGTCACAGCTTTGCCGCAAAGGTGAAGCAATGAACGCGATAGCAACGAATTGGAAGGCCACGCGCAGAATGGCAAGCAGATCGAAACGTGCTCCGCGTTTCTCAAACACAAATGATGCACAAAACGTACTCAAAGGTACAGAATAACACGAATAAGCGTCTCAGTTGTTACTTCGCTGTGTCTGAAAAGCGCGCCTTTTTCGCAAATGGAGGATGCGCAACAAATGCAGTGACCTTTTTGCACCCGGTAACTACAACAGAATCCCCCCGACGAAACGGGAAGGCTAGCCAAGACGTAAGATTCTCCCCAATGCAAGATAAGGACGTGCGATCGAGCGCACACCCCCTTATTCTCTACGCGGGCCAAAGTACGCGTGAGAGAAGAGAGCCGCCACGCGGTCACGGCGCCATCTTGCCGATAATCCTGAAAACACGATAGTCCCCCCCCCCCCCCCCCCGAGATGGCCGCCAATAGTGGTAAGTGGTAGATATATCTCGGTACCTCTCGGTGGCTCAGTGGTTAACGCGTCGCGTTCACGACGCTGAGGTCCGAAGTTACATTACGCGCGCCGGAGTCTTCTTTCTGAGATTTTTTTCTTTTTTGTATATATATATATATATATATATATATATATATATATATATATATATATATATATATATATATATATATATATATATATATATATATATATATATATATATATATATATATATATATATATACGTATACATTACATATACGGTGCATGACGCCGACGTACACGTCGACGCCGAAGCCCACGCCGACGCCGGCAGCAAAATCCAGCCGAGAGTGTCCAAAAATTGCTATCGCAGCAATAAGTGTCTTCCAAACCCCACATTTTATTTCTGCCCTGAATGGAAACGAATGTGAACGCTCTCTCACACGCGAAAAAGGACGCTGACGCAGAAAACAAAGCTAGCTCGCTGGCGCGAGCTCAGGAAGCAGAGGAAAACCGGCAATGCTGACAACAAGCCGCTACTCCGAAGGAAAAAAAGGTGACATGTGGCGGCTCAATTTCTACGCAGACAGCAAGCTACCCCATGGGTGAGAGCTTGGGAAGCCGCGATTATTCGCTCCGTGGCTCGCGTTCATGAGTGTCACGCACTTAACGCACGGCAACGGGCTGTACTCGAATGAAAGGTGAAGTAGTGAACGTCCTGATAGGCGTTCAGAAAATGGTGCCTTGCTCGAAACATACCTCACAACGCAACCATCGACGTGCACGTAAAGCAAAAGATTATAAGCAAGCCCTTGTCCAAAGTCGGCCTAGTCAAGAAACGAAATATTGACGCGTGGTGGAAGTGCCTAGAAGACTCACCCCCTCTACAAATACCTAAATATACAGAAAACATGCACAGCACTCGTCTTTGCCTACTTCAGGCTGGATCCTATTGAAAAGCATTGCATATACATTTCACAGGCCACAAACCAGTAATAATAAAGGCAAGACGGAACATAGAACTCCACACAACATACGAGTTATGACCAATAAATCATTGTATGTACTGTACACATGCGCTGTCACTCATTTACATACGCAAGTATTGCCCAGTGCTTCTCCCACTCATCAGGATTCACTTCGTGGAGATGTGTGAATTTTTATGCTAGCATTGTATATAAATTTTATCGCTGCAAAAATGGCACTTAACTGTAGTATTCGCCCACATGTTAACTTCTAAACATACAATCGGTGAACCATACAGTATATAGTGAGCGCATCGCTATATACAGTTTTTATAATAAGGGAGGACTAATTTTCATTACTGCGGCATGAAAGTCAGTAAGTCACTCACTTTATTAGAGTTCTGGGGAGACGCTCTGAGTGTTCCTCCTAGGGCTTCGCCTGCAACGGTGGCATGGAAGTTGTGATTAGCATTTCACTCGGTCTTCCAATTGTACTCGCTAACCTGCGTGTCTCTGCCCAGGTCTGGCTTGTTCGCACGAGCGTGCCTACCTCTTCTTTGGCGAGTCACTGCGTCAGTGGACGCGCTGCCGCTTCAAGTCCATTGCTTGGCCCGAAGGGTGCCGTTTCTATAGCGGCAAGCGCTGTGGTCGTGGTCCAGCTATGGGACTTGAGTTCGGCCGAATGGGCTACTTCAGTCCGTCTACTAAGGCTCGGGGGGTCCACTACCTGGAGACCAATGCGGAGCTGCCCTTCTGCAAAGAGTAAAGCACCCTGCCAGGCTGAAAGACACCCGAAATAACTGTGTCTTTCTTCTGACTTTCAGCTGTATGAGTAGAGCGGTAATCTGAAGGAAATAAAATGTGGCTTCGTATGCACCATGGAAAACAACAACAACAACAAAACGTGACTTTTCCAAAATTAGAAGAGGACTTCCCCATGCAGTCAATTATGTCTTTGTATCTTTGAATTGTGACAACAGCGGTTTATGAGGGCCGACTGCGGCGGTCGTTGCCACGAGGCTAGCTTGAGATTTTTGTACGTGCGAAAGCGAAAACAGGCAGCTTCGCCAGGTCAAATCGACTTCAAAATGTCCTGCCACACACACACACACACACACACACACACACACACACACACACACACACACACACACACACACACACACACACACACACACACACACACACACACACACACACACACACACACACACACACACACACACACACACACACACACACATATATATATATATATATATATATATATATATATATATATATATATATATATATATATTTGTGGCACGACATTTGTATATCTACATATATACACTCACAGAATTAGAGGGAGTACTACAATTACAAGAGCAGAGGAAGTGTAATATTACTCTCTCCAGAGCTCTTTAACTGCACGGGGGAGTAGGGCTGTTAGCCGCGGAACTTATTATTTTCTTGAAGCCCCGCCACGGTGGTCTAGTGGCTAAGGTACTCGGCTGCTGACACGTAGGTCGCGGGATCGAATCCCGGCTGCGGTGGCTGCATTTTCGATGGAGGCAAAAATGTTGTAGAACCGTGTGCTCAGATTTGGGTGCACTTTAAGTAGAAATTGTATACGCACTCAGGCATCTAGATAAGATGCAAGAATGTTGTTTATAGTCGAGTAACGATGGAACCACTTACGTTAGCAATACCAGCCCAAGCAGTGGTAGGCATGTAAATTATGCTGTACATCACTTTCATGTCATGATTATCATATTTGCTCCTAGTATTTGCGTTCGTCCTCCATTCACGTCACACAATACAAAATTTGGTATATGTGAAGCTAGCAAAACGACTGCGAGAGCGTTGTGACATTATTATGTCAGAACGTGTCATTTACCTTCGCCGTACATTAACGGCACGTAATACCTAATTTGGTATATGTGATGGTAGCGAAACGACTGCTAGCGCATCATGAGCGTGGCATATAGCCTTATTCTTACAGGACATGCTTGTCGTGATTATCATGTTTGCACCAGTCCTTTTTCATCCATTTACGTCTCGTAACACCCAAATCGGTATATATGAAGCTAGCGAAACGGCCGCGAGTGGACTATGAGCACAGCACGTAGGGATGTTTACATGTCACACATGTCATGGTTATCGTATTGGGACGTGTCATTTACCTTCGTCCTCCATTCACGTACGTCACGTAATACCAAATTTGGTATATGGGAAACTAGCAAAATGACCACGAGGGCACCATGAGCGTATGACGTGTAGTCATGACTTCCATGATTCGCAAGTCATGATTTCCACGTTATGGCCTGTCACTTAGGTTCGCTCGCCATGCAGTCATGTCATACCATACCAGTTCGTTTACATGTCATGTGAACGAAAGAACCGCCACAGCAGCAAGACCATGACGTGTAAGTCATGACATTCATAACTAAGATGATTTAATTTTCTTGTTATGACTTGTCAGTTATGCTCGTCATATATTCATGTTATGGCGTACCAGTTTTGGTATAGACCCCATCATCGAAACGGCCAGGAGAGCTAAAAGTCGTAGGCGGCTAGATTGATAGATAGATAGATAGATAGATAGATAGATAGATAGATAGATAGATAGATAGATAGATAGATAGATAGATACGCTCAAAGTTGCCGAAGTTCGCTAAGAAATGCTTCGCGTTAAAAAAAATCATGATTCGTCGAACGTACATGACAGATGCGCAGATAGCTGGGCAGTTGTTATACACTATAATGTCTGGTTTTTCACGTACCAAAACTATGGTATGATTATGAATACCGCATACAGTTGAAGGTTCCAGACTGATTTAGACCCTCTGGTGTTCTTCAACGCACTCTGACATCGCACAATACACGGGCTTTCCGAACTTTGCCTCCATAGAAGTGGGACCACCGCCACCTGGATTGAATCCACGACTTTCGGGTGAGAAGCCTAGAACGGGAACGACTACCAAACTCCAACGGACTACGGATGTACAGTTTTCGTTGCGTATAGGCATGGAAAGATTTACACATTTACAGAATAATTACACGTTTGTGCGACTTTGATTACGTTCACTACACAAGTGAAATCTGAAGTTGAGGAGTCGAATTGAACTCGAAACCGAAACTAATTTGACTTGTTACCGCGCGACAAGCCAAAAATGAAGAATGATGTAGTGTGATTACCACATTGTGTTTGCGCTTCAGATCTAAACGTAAACTGCGCTTCCTGATGAAGAACCGCCGCCTTCAGTTATGATTCAGGGAAAATTTTCTAAAGTTTATCCCCGCATATTGCTCGAGAGCGAGTTTTTTTTTTTTGCATAGCTGTAAGCACTGCCATGAAGCTGCCCGTATACTCCAGCATTTGTGCTCATTATTTTAGCGTTACAAAACAAGTTGCAGGGCTAGTCATGAACACTTTCTTACTTCACATGTTTCAGCGTCACTTTTTACGAGAGAAGTGCGTAACAGGGTGGGCACTGAATCCTGTTATGAAGTCGACGCCCGTCCTGTCATGCTGTTCTCTCTCCGGTGTTCCCTGGTGATGTGCGAAACGTTCTCGCAAAAAACTCGCGCCTTCGCATCAGAAATGAGAACGCCGAGGACGCGCCCTAACCACTCTGGCATGAGAATCAAACAAAGCTCATGAAGCAGGATGACGAGTGAGCGCGTGTAGTGAGTGTAGTGACTACGTGCCTACACCTTGTTTATCAACACAGGTTTAACGGTGCGAATATAAACGAAGACACAGAGACAGCAAAGAACAACACGTTCGCAGACTCACAGCTGAAGCTTTCTCTGTGTCTGGCTTTGTATAAGCGTGGTTAAAGCTACAAAAATGAACAATAACCAACTAGCTCAATTTGGCGCTCTTCGTTTATAAACTGCGGTCACGTTTCTTTTTCTCTTTTGGTGTGTGATTTTAAGAGTTTACCTACATTCGAGTCAACTTTCAATTGTGTGAATAAGGTATGTACGGTTTTGATATGTTGCGTTGTTTGAAGTTCGTTAACGTTTTCTTATGCATTTTTTTTCAGATTGACAGAAAGCAATCCTTCTCATTATTTCAGTGAACAACCTTCCATTACCATGAGATATTCCGGCATGTCTGTGAGATTGAACGTATCTGCTATTACCTGCTGCCTTGTTCTTAAATAAGATGCAGCCTGTTGATGAGACAGTCTTCAGACCACGGTGTAAGAATGAGTTAAGAGATGTCACTGATGACACTGCACTTGGCGCCATGTCCAGATTGTGTTCGTCGCCTGAGCTGTTTAGGTATTAATACAACAAATGACGCTCACGGAGGGTGGATCAAGGCGCTTACTGGTGAGTGACTATCCGCGTGTAGGAGGTTACTGCTGCAGAGCCTCGCGTGTTTTTAAAGACAATAGTCTTTTTTGGGGTACTTCGACAAAAAAAAAAAATCGGTCTATCTGTCTGTACATTTGTCTGTTTGTCCGCCGTAACGGTACGTTGAACGGCACAAAACGACATTCCAAACGACCAAACCCATCCGCAATGCCTACCAATATTGCTCAAGTTTCAGCGTTCATACTTTTGCGATTGTCAATTGAAAAGCAATTATTGCGCATATCTGAGGCACAATAACAGCACGTCAATATTTTGTATGTGTGACTTTATACTAAAAAGGCATACAAAGGCACTTCTAACAGCAATAGCGTATATCACGATGCGCTGACAATGCAACGCGATGGTCAAAGAGGTGAGTGTTTCCAACGCTTTGCTAAGACGACAAGGTGGTGGCACCTGCCCGTCGCTTTGCGTTCTACAACTTATCGCCTCCAAGACAGGCGCACACGCCTTCGTTCATTTTCGAAGATAACAGGCAGATAGCGCTCGTGTCTAACGGGGCTCGATGCGCTCCTTCGCCTTCGCTGCACGGATCGAGACTTTCTAACGCAGCGCCTCCAGAATACAATTCACCGATTTGCTCACGCAGAACATCAAATAAACGTTTTGTTCACTCTCTCCAGACGCAAGACTATCGTCTTTCGACGACATGTGCAGTGAAACATGCAGATACGGGGCCAATTTTCACGCTTGATAAACACATGTAAAAGTATGTCAATAAATTATTACACTGTCACTCTGCTGTAACGATAATTGGTTCCCTAATTTTATATGTACCTTATTTGCTAACAGTGTTTTCGTCATATAAATTCTTCGACAGCAGCAAACGTTACCCTGGAGAGTAGTCGTATTTTAACACGACAGTACTAAAGAGGTCATTTCGATCGAATTCTGGGGTCAGCGGGGTCGGTGGTGTCGGCATCAGCGTCTTTAGTTCAGAAGAAAAAAAGCAGCGTTGTCCGCACCAAAAAATTTGAGGCGTTTGCGCTAAAGATAGCAGGCCGAGGGCAAAAGCGCGCTATCTATTGGGTAGGCGATAGTCTGCGTGCGTGTGTTTGTGCGTGCATGAGAGTGCATATGTGCCTGCGTGTATGTGTGCGTGCTTGTATGCGTGAGCACGCGGAAATCATTGTCGCGTTCTGGTTTCTTAGCAAAATGATCGGAAAACTTCGTCAGAAAACCTTCAACTAATGCATGATGAAACTTACACGCGTTTGCGGACAACATCAATCGGCACGCTGCCCTTGCCAGTCTTGTTAGCGTCACCAAGATCACTCCATTTCAGCTTCTGGCAGTGTTAGCAGCATGGTATGATGGGAAGAACTTCATTGGGTTCCAAAGGTCGACCCCGGGCAGCGCCTGCCTTGAGTTAACCCGTACCACACCCATGGCGGGACTGTCAGACTTGTGCCATAAGCCATACTTCGCCCTATTTTATCAAACC